AGCTATTTTTGCTTCATTTCAGCCATCTATACAAAATCAAGATGCATCACCTGCACCTTACCATAGGATTATACACATACTGTCTAGCTTGTCTTAGCTGCAGCAGCAAAGTCTAATGGCCAGTGTCCACTCTGGTCCTGTGAGTTTGAGGTTGGGGTGGTTTTTTTGTGCACTATTGCCTAACTCTGTTAGCATAAGTTTTGTTCAGCTAGTACAGTTGTGTGGTTCTCCCTTCCTAAAAATCATCATGTCATATACATTAGAGAGCAGTGTAGGGGAGAGGGACCTGGGGGTCCTAGTGGACGACAGGATGACCATGAGCCAACACTGTGCCCTTGTGGCTAAGAAGGCCAATGGGCAAGGCACAGGAAGGGCTAAGGCAAGATGCTGGCAAAGTATCTGGTGCTAGAAACAAAGCATTGTGCATTTTAAAGTAAACTTTCTACTCTTTTCCTTTTCTTACATTGGAGGAGCCATCTCAGAGCAAAGCTGTGCCCACAGATGAAGCCAGAACCTGCCCAGGCTCTTGGACTCCAAGCCTTTGGGTTCATACAGGGACTGGCAGCAGCACTGCTCCCACACAGACAGCCCTGGCACCCTTCGTAATACTTTCCTCCCAGCCACATGCACCTTCCCCATGCTCTCCTGTACAGGTTTCAGGAGATTCTCATTCTTAAGGCTCAAGCCATTTCCCAAAGAAGGGTAGAGGAAAAATGCTCGGTTTTGCTTTTGTTGAACTCTAGCAGCTTCCTGGGAGAAAGAGCAGGGTGGGTCTGGCAGGAGGGCACAAGTGGGAGCAGCAGATGGATGCGTGCCTTCTCCTATGCACTGTCCAGTGTAGGTCATTCAAAGTGATGCAACCTTTCTCCAAGTTAAGAGAGAAAAGGCCCCTCAGTGTTCTGCAGACCTGGAACTTAATTTAGCATTCCTGGATAAGTGCGTGATCTCTTGCCATCTCCTCTTTGCATGCTTCAGCACAAACAACAAATACTTGTGCTAGGGAAAGTACCTTTGGAAATGCATTTGCATTTCAGTTTACATATGGGAAAAGATTAGGTATTTTTAAATGCTATCACGGATCACAGCAATAGTTTTTCTAAGCCTATGCTCATCTTCTATCACATACTGAGCTTCCAGCATCACAAATAATCTTCTAATATTATTTACGTAACACTGAAATTAAAGAACCGCATTTATCGTTCCTCAGTGGAAGAAGACACGTTACACTTGACAGCAGCAGAATTAGAAGTTGAAGCTCATCTAATTTTATTTACTGTACACAAGATGCTTGATCATTTCTCCGGGTAAAAATCAGTTCGCTTTTAAGGCCTTGATGGTATCAACTTCTTGCGAATTGTTGTTGCTTAGCCTGAATTTTATAACTTCCTGCGTAAGGGTAAATAAATTCAGATCAGCTGTGAAGCTGCTGGCATCTTTCTTCGGACAGGAAGCCTCCCAGGGCAAACTTACTCAGCACCTGAGCTGAAGTATTTAACATGCTGATCAGACGAACTTAATGGCATTCGCGATGGGGCACAGGGACACTGCTCAGGGATCGGTCTTTTCTACTACAGCGCGTACCAAGGGCGCCACCCTGAGACTAGTGCTGGTCAGAGCAGACAGGCATCCTTGGGGCCTTTCCTGCGGGAAGGCAGGCAGCGGTGCCCAGTCTGGGACAGGAGCACAGCGCGGTTCCCAGCGGGCTTGAGCGGATGAGCTGCGCGCCTCTGCTGCTCTTCAGCCCCAGCCCCACAGACAGCCATGAGCCCCGCCCCGGGCATCATCAGCTCTGTGAATGCCGACAGCCAAAAGCACCCCCTTTTCTGCAGCTTTCACATACAAAAATACACAAACACATGCAAAATGATTAGCGTGGCACAGAGGTTTGGGTAACAAAACCCCACAGCGCTGTGTGGTAGGGGTGTGAAATGGGTATGAACGTGTGCTCCTGCCGGCAGATGGCGATCAAAACAAGTAAATGCAGCTCTGATCAATTCCACTGGCAGGCAGGCGCTTTACACAGGGCAGCAAATCCAAGTGCCGGTGGTGCATGGCACACCTTCGGTGCGTCTCGGCCACGCTTCCCTCCCAGCTCCAGCAGGGACTACAGATGGATTCAAATCCCATGGGAGATGTGCTCCTCCTGATGCCCCCTACACTGGAGAAGAAGCAGAGGTCCAAAGTGGTCATTACCCTGCACATGCAGGGAGCAGCTCAGTAGGTAGGGGCAGAAGCAGATGAGGTATTTCCAGGTCTAAAAGGTGTTAGGCTCATGCTGGTAGGAAGCCTAGTGAGAAGGAAAAGGAAAAGGGGCAGCAGCTTCCATGGTGAAGCAAGACAGTTGTAAAAAGAAAAAAGGTGTTGGTAATAATACCCACGCATTCATCGCTGGTTTCATGAGTCAGTGAGGGCAGGAGAGGCAAGTTTAACCATCATATACAAAAAAAGTCTCAGAATGAAATGTACTGAACATGCACTGGTTCTGCATCCTAATTCCATTCATCGAGAACGTGGGAGAGTCCAGTTCTCAGGGTTCATACATCCCTATAATAAACCTGCACCTTATTTGCCTCTAGGGTGAACCTCAGCTGGGATGCAAGCAGAGCAGGCATGCAGCAGGGAATGAGGAGCCATGAGACATCACAGCTGCTCACTGCTGCAGGTGGACTGGTTCTGCTTTGCTGAAGGTCAGTTTCCGCATTAAGTGTGGTGAATCCATTGCTGTGGAAACTCCAGAAGCCCAGAGGAACTTAAGTCTTGGAACCAAAGACAACAGGGAAGGCTCTGGGTCACACACTGTTAACAGCTACTAGGAAGGCTGTGAACATCACTCGGCATTTTTGAGCTTCATAATGAAACTGACAGGACAGAGCTAACGAGGATCAGGAGAGGAGCAGGCCCAGTGGAAGGCCTGAGCTCAAATGCTTCTGTACTAGGGAAAACTCAGCACTTCACAGCACACAAGTACCAAATACAACCAGGCCTCCTGATTTCTCCCTTTTATTGAGGCAGTTCCATCCAAGCCACAAGGGTTAAGCTCATTAATAAAAAAAAAAAAGTACTTCAATTTGCTTCATATAAGGGAAATAAAAAGATTTAGCAGCTGCAATCTTAAGCCTGTGAAGATGTTTGTTATTCTAATTACCTTCCTGAGCACATTAGATGAGCTGCCTGTCTCATCAGATTTCATCTTGCACATTAGAAGTCTAATGAATACACTGTGTGTTGTTTGGCAGGGAGGCTGTGCACTGGCAATCCCACCTCCTCAGAGTGCAGCCTGCAGGGTACTGATGCTGTCTTGTTGCTCACCAGCACTAAGCACAAGGAAGCAAGCAAGTTCACTGACTGATAATGGCCAAGTGAGGCCTTAATAAATGTGAGCCCCCGAACACCAACACAAGGATAACTACTTAACCCTTGGGTCTGCTGTCAGCGTTACACACCAGAGAACTTCAGAGCTATCATTCTGTGCATGCCCAGACTGTTGGTTAGGAGCAGAAGACACCCCAGGAGAGCAGCAAATGCTTCTTTACGGATTACAGAACATGAAGAATCCCTTACAGCTTGTACTAAAAGGTGTTTTTTGCTCAGTTCTGCAATAGAAGGGGAAGAACCTGCCAGAAGTTCTCCTCTCACGCCCACAGCAGAGGTGTTCCTGAGGCAGCACAAATTATATCCTCTTCAGTACTTCAGCATCTGGAATTGCTGCCTACAGCACAAACTTGGATCCAAACTTTGGCTCGGATTGCCACAGGTTGCTCTCCACACCACAGTACACAGTATTCCTTTTTGTAACACCTCATTGGCTCTTGCTGGTTTTTTGCTCTGCTTAATACTGAACTTAGGGCCATGCTATTCACACATTCTGCCTACCTGGTGTAATTACTTACTGATGCTTGCCAGTTGGACACTGCAGGATTTTCATCTGCTATGGACTGTATTCCCTACTCAGTCTTTCTAAGTACACATCAGCATAGCCAGAGGCTCTGTATATGGCAAAGACAGACTAGTATTACCCTTGTTTGCTGCAGCAAAGGACCAGAAGTAGGTATCAATACATTTTCCATCAGCTTTGCACATTAAGAATAAATAGATTAACAACAAAAGTAGCAGCATGTTCTATACATGGTACAGGGAGAAAGACAATTTAGTGAGGAAATGATGTAAGACCCACCTTAAGTTCTCACAAACCAATGAGACTATCTGAAGTAGTAAGCAGAATATGAAAAAACATTACCAATGGCAAAGGCCCTTCCCTAACATAACTTTGCCTTGCTTACTCCTCAGCTTGCTAACACTTCTTTCCTGCCCCATGCCTACCCCACCCATCCTCCTTTGGTCATGACCATCCATTCTCCCATATACTCCCTGTTTTCCACCCTTCTCTTCTGGATGCTGCATGGTAATCCTGAGAACAGCTGTTTTTAAGGAAACTTTCTCAGTACCGCCAAGTGGCTTGTTCCAAGCTATAAAACACCCTGCTTCCCACTCCATTCTTGTTTGAGAGCATGGAGTCAAGAGATGCTTCTGGGCACCCTGTTAGTACTGTCCCAGCAGCAACTCCCCCCTTCCCCAGCATTCCCTCACAGGTTTCTCAGATCTGTAGTCCTTGTACCATTGTATGTCCCACTCCCCCCACTCCACACAGGCTGCTCATTCCTTAGTCTTGTCCACTAGTTTCTGCTCTCCCCACACACCTATGCAAGAGCTTCCCTTGGGGGACAGAGTGGCACTGCACCAAGTCCCATGCAAGAACCCCTTTGCAGCCTGATAAAGGCAGTCCGAGACATTCAGCTACTAAACACAGAGCACGCTGCAGGGACTCCCCTCCAGCACAAAAGGCAAAAGGCTTCTGAAGAGACACGTGGTTTCTAACAGGTTCAGTCATCCTCAACATGAGAACCACATCTTTAGCACTTGCATATTGTTCTGAAAGAGCTAAGGAAATGCTTTGGGTATTCTGGTCATTTTTCCATCGCTAAAGAAACAAACATGCAAAGTGATTTTTTTTTTTTTTTATTGATCACTGGTTAAGTCATAATACATTTCAAAGCAAAATATTCTGTTCAAGGACATTGTGCCAAACATTAAATCTACTTTTAAACAAGACAATTTGACTGTATTACCATTATATACATACAATTTTAATTTCACTAGTAGCAAAATTACTCAGTACATTACATTTCCTGAAAGATGGCAAGAAACAGGACTTGAAGATCTGTTCTGCCCTTCCACATATCCCCAAACCAGAAAAATCACAGGTATAGAAAGTACAATCACAAGTACAGGTAAATACAATAAGGACCTCAGAGCAAATTAAGACCTTATCAGAGATGACAATCGCTTCTAGAAGTCTACATTGCAAATATACAGTACATTCCACTAAAGAGTTTTGGGAGTTCTCACAATGCCTCTTAATCCTCTTTTGGTAATAAAAGCTTCTATGACAACATGTATCCTTCATAAAAATTACTTTGTATTTTTGGAGCGTATGTTGGAAGCTTAATGCAGTCTAAACTGCAGCCTACAATAAGCTCACCCAAACAGAGCAAGCAAGCATTGTATGATTCATCAAGATCAGAACCACAGATCAACTGAGTCACTCTTTGTTCGTGGTCTCTGGGCCCCTGGTAGCTAGAGCTACTCTGCACCACAGACAGGCTCAAAGGGTCAGAAAGAGTACATTTCTTCTACAGCTTTTGCAGATCACTCACCTGCAAGTTCTTGACAGAAAATGTCAACTGACTCACAAAGCACAGGCAACTGTACAAGCCTGATGTGAACTTACTTACAAAGCATTCGTTACACTGCAGTTACAAGACAATTAAGGACACAGCTAAGGAGCAACAAGATTTCTGTGTTTATGCTACCCCTGAAAAATTCCTGTGAGCAGCCGAGAACGCAATGGGCAATGACTGCACAAACATACTGCTGCTGCTGGGGAAACTGTAGTCTGGGCTTTGGGAGGTGGAATGGTGCACATAATTCAGCAGTCCCAAAGGACAGCTGAGACTTCAGTTATGCTCAAACTCTGCTTTGGTTTGTGCAATATATTATTAATCCTGTTCACGCAGCTTTGAGACGTAGTCTGCATTCAGGAAGAAACTATTACTCTGTGCTTGGCAAAACAACACTGGAGGAGCTTTCGAGAACTAGCAAAGAAATGGAGGTAAACAAGCCATTTTTTCATGAGCACTGGGGATCCTCACAGCAGCAACACCAAGGACTTTGCCACTGTCACAAGGAAAAGAACTTCATCAGCACTGTTGCAGGTTTTCCATTCTATATTTGGAAATTCTGTATTACTTCTGTATTTGTCGAAGGAAGCCACCCCGATGAACAAGCTCTCTGAACTCTACCCGACTGAAAATACAGAGGAAGTTTTCCTACCAGGCTTGATGACCCCAGGCTTGGGGAACAGCTACCCACTAACAATACTGAGCATAACCCCATGATTTAGTATGAAAGTAGGTGCTTAACTGCTCATTTTCTTTCTCTTCCCTGCTGTTAAGCCCAGGGAAACCTGACCACACGAGGAAACACTAAACAGGCATGCCCAAGGTTAAAGACATCAACTGATTTCCTCCAATATGGTCAAAACACATCACTTCTCTTTTGGCAGGTTCCAGCCACACACACTCAACACCACTTGTTGCAGATCTCCATTTTAAACGTCAAGTTGCCTGGCTCTCCAGATCTAACATCAATATGACATAAGTAACTTAATTCAGAAATAACTGGTGTAAATCTGCTGTACCATTTTATCAGCCCTGCTTTATAGCAACTTCCACAAAAAAAACCGAGCATTCAGTACTGCTACTTGTACATAGCTAGACAGTAGCTCTTCTAAAAGGGCTGAAAAAGCAGGCTACAGACTGAGTTCTTTCTACTAGTCTACACTGAGTTTCAGCAGAGGTAGGTAGGAATAGGTGAAGAGAGAATTAGAAAACAACATCTGAGATGTAGGCTAGCATCTGGATGTTCTTTACTCTCCCCTTAACCTATGTTTCACTGTTTTTTTCTTTGCTTAACCATGGTCAACCTATTCACTTAAGAACTATAACCTGGTAGGCTGCAAAGACAACATGGTATTAGTCAGCTGTCATTAACAGGCAGAGGAACTACAAACATGGGCCAAAAGGCACCACGATTTACTGCAAGAGTCAAGGAGGTGTTTCACACAGAAATTCAAGTGCCACATATGAGGTCTGGCGAACACAACATCAAATTACTGGCAACATTTACCTCAACCTCAAGCTTTCCAGTCAGCAGAAGCAGATACAAAGGCTAGCTCTCAGGGTATAACTTCACTTCAGCATTTCCAAATTTAACTGTGCAATAAGCACGAATGGAAAACATACACTTTAAACTCGGAGAGAATTCACAGTACTTAATCAAGTTTCAGCTTAATTAATTTTTCTGTAGCCTATTCTAAAAGCTTTTCAGCCTGTGGACATTAAGAATACAACTACAGTAAGATGTGTAATATTTTGAATGCCATCCTATCTGATACAGCAACCAATCAACAACAGAGCACAAGAAAAGGCTGAAAAACCCTACACTACGTCGTGCAAGCCTTACACTATGGAAACAGCTTTAGTGGTTCTCTTACTGCTTTATCTTGTAAAGAAAAAAAAATACCAGTTTACTATGTTCATCACTTGAGTTTTTTAAAGTTTGCTTGGAAGGCCTTACTAAAATCCAACTTTTTGCACATTCTTGTACGCCACACCACTAAATGACAGTTACACAAAAAACAGAACAGTTTCACTGCCAAGATTTCAGGACTTTTCAAATGAGCCTCTCAGACTGTTAGCACTGAAATTCAAATATACAGAAAGGCGCAGGACAGTGAAACTGGCCAGTTGCATCAGTGAGGACCACAGCTGATTAAGCTGTAAGTCAAGGGGTCCTGTCAACCTGAGTGAAGTTTCAGTAATTGCTGAATGGCTTCTTCAAAGAATCCACAGCCAAACTTCAAGGTTTTCAATAATTTTAAAAGAAGTGAGACTCCATTTCAAGAGATGTTGAGTTTTAGATAAAATACTTGCACTCATGTTTCCCTGCTCACTTATATCACACCTGAGGGTCTTCTCCACTGTTCAAGAAAGTTTTGCAAACAAGAGTAGAGAAATCAAACCAAGAGAAATGTAGACATTGAGAAAATGCTACAAACATACAAAGCAGAGGAAGGAATTTTTCTTCCAATTTTCAGTTTTAATTCTTTAAACAGGTATGTCAAGAAAAGAGCAACTGAAATTGTGTCCCTCAAAATTAAGTTGCCTACACATGCTGAAAGGAATATGGTCTTTCAAAGTAGCCCTTTCTTACTAAAATCAGCTCTCTCAGAAACACTTTATCTCTCAGCTGCATAGAGGAATGCAGTCAATCACGGTCATTATATAAATATCTGTGTCTTTTTAAACCTATTACTATACATCATTTGCCCTAGAACTCTAAAAAGCCATGCAGGTCACCAACAAACTTATCTTACCAGAAGAAGCCTTAAATTTCCATGGATGCAGACCACACATACAAAGAATTAATGAAGCGTCCCAAAGAAAAAAGGATTAGCTCTTACTCCAAATCACACAGAAAATTACCTGTTTTTATAAAGACACCTACTGAGATTTAAAACTGTTGAGGTGGCATTAGAATCTTACATTTTCTGTTCAGATGTTGCTCAACTGAACAGCTACCTCTTATAATGGTACAGCTTCCCTCTCAGTTAAGCATGCAAAATGTACAAAATGGCAAGACAATAAAAATATCCCCTTGAATGTCCACCTGTACTGCTTCAAGAGACTGCTGCCAAAGCTTCAATACCACAACATTAATTTTCAACATTTTCAAACATGATATGAAAATTGCATTGTTACTACACAGAGTATAACAGTCATTGGTCATTTGTATTCATTCACCCCAGCACTAGTGAAAAACTGCCTTCTGAATAGGCATAGCGATGAGAAAACACGGCAAGTTTTGTTATCAATTTGTGCCTCTACTCGTCTTGCACTAGCCAGTGCATGGAAGGTAGGTGAGCAGAAATACAACAGCCTATTAATATACTCCATGTTTCCACATACACTGATGTCATGCATATCTCAAAATACAGAAGTTCAGACATGCAGCAAAATGTGTTAAAGCACCTTATATGCTCTCCTGATGACAATGAGTCATGTAGTATTTACTCAGACAAATCAAAGCAGAGCAAAATGTTTTGTGCTTCAAGTTTCAGAATAACACTATTCCTATCAAAGTATCTGAAGTGCAATGAAAGGACTGTTCTACTGAAATTGGAAGCAAAAGACACCATTTCAAGAACTAGGAAATAAGCACTGATCAGAGCACTGCCTTCCAAAGGTTCATAGTAAGTAACAAAATATCAGGGTCATGCAGACCTTCAGTCATGATTTGTTTCTAGATTCTTATGTAATTGAAAAAAAAAAAAAAAAGCCAAGAACAATCCTGGCTGACTTTCCCACATTTAGGATTTGGGGGGATTTTGGCTAAACAACTGTTACTTTATTGTAAGGAACGCAGGTATTGTCAGAAAAAGTGTTATTTACAGAATGATTATCAGACTGATTACATAAAACACAGATGAAAATATACACCTTCAGGTTTGAGATAAGCCAAGCAAACTCACTGCTGATAACTAAAGCACTTTAAATAAGGTGACAGGCACCAAACATCAAAATTGAATCACAAAACTACTGAATTAACAGACAAATTGGGGAATGTATAGGTAAAACAGATCAACAAAACAGGAATGATTTATAATTAGCACCCCAAAAATCATGGAGCTTCATTAAAATTCTGTTTTACTGTATATAAAACTGAAAGGAAATCTTTACTCCCAGACTGATTTCTTCCAAATACTGAGCAGCTGTTTTCTTAATGCATCTATGTAATGCTTCCTACTGTACATCTTACACCACACCTCACCACATGTAAGTGCATGATTAGAAACTGTGCTGAAATCAGGAAAAAGCGCTTCATAATTGATAGGCGCAATAGAGTCACAACAACGTTCAGCTCCATGTTTTGGAAGCAGTTGTGTTAAGAGGTGAAGTTCTAGAAAAGGGACTTTGATCCCTGATTTTCAAACTCTGACCACGCATCATTCAATTCCATGAAGATCATTTTGGCATACTGCTCGTAAGGTTGTCCTGTGGCCTGAAAACAAGCACATTAGAAGCATAAAAATATTAGGAATTATGAGACTTAGGAAAGATCTCACCCCTTTTATAAATATAAATATTGCCATCTTATTCAACAGCTTAAGGCACCTGCGTGAATATAATTTTGCAGACGCAGAGCTCTCTCCAATCTTACCCAAAGTTTACCATGAGTATTTTAAACAAAGCCAAAGCCCTGGTTTCCTTACATTACTTTAAACTTTCAGTACAATTTATAAATAACTGACACTTAGCTAAAACCAGTTTCCAAGCTTCACATATACAGTTTTAGTTAATACTGTTAATGACCAAATCCACTTATTTTTTTCATTTGTTTCCTGGCAGATCATGCAATAGCATACAAGAATAAAATTTAAGCATTACTTAAGATAACTCTTTCTGGATGAGATTTCCTGGAGAAAAATCAGTTGCTGATTGACGACTGGAAAAAGGGAAATATAACCCCCATTTTCAACAAGGGGAAAACAGATGACCCAGGGAACTACAGACCAGTCAGTCTCACCTCTGTGCCTGATAAAATCTTAGAGCACATTCTCCTGGAAGGCATTCTAAGGCACATGAAGAACAAAAAGGTGCTTGGTGACAGCCAGAATGGCTTCACTAACGGCAAATCCTGCCTGACCAATTTGGTGGCCTTCTATGATGGGGCTACAGAACTGATGGACAGGGGTAGAGCAGTTGATGTCATCTACCTGGACTTGTGCAAAGAGTTCGACACTGTCCCACACGACATCCTTGTCTCTAAATTGAAGAGACATCAATTTGATAGGTGGACCACTTGGTGGATAAAGAACTGGCTGGATGGCTGCATGCAAAGAGTTGTGGTCAATGGCTCAATGTCCAACTGGAGACCAGTAATGAGTGGTGTCCCTCAGGGATCGGTGTTGGGACCGGTCTTGTTCAACATCTTTGTCACTGACATGGACAGTGGGATTGAGTGCGCCCTCAGCAAGTTTGCCGATGACACCAAGCTGTGTGGTTCGGTTGATACGCTGGAGGGAAGGAATGCCATCCAGAGGGACCTTGACACGCTTGTGAGGTGGGCTGATGCCAACCTCATGAAGTTTAACCATGACAAGTGCAGGGTCCTACACCTGGGTTGGGGCAATCCCAGGCACACCTACAGGTTGGGCAGAGAAGAGATTCAGAGCAGCCCTGCGGAGAAGGACTTGGGGGTGTTGGTCGATGAGAAAATGAACATGAGCCGGCTTCAGTGTGCGCTCGCACCCAGAAAGCCAACTGTATCCTGGGCTGCATCAAAAGGAGCGTGACCAGCAGGTCGAAGGAGGTGATCCTGCCCCTCTACTCTGCTCTTGTGAGACTAAGACCTCACTTGGAGTATTGAGTACCATTCTGGTGTCCTCAACCTAAAAAGGACATAGAGTTGTTACAGTTGTTGCTGAACAAGTCCAGAGAAGGGCCACGAGGATGATCAGGGGACTGGAGAACCTCCCATGTGAAGATAGGCTGAGGAAGTTGGGGCTGTTCAGCCTGGAGAAGAGAAGGCTGCGTGGAGACCTCATAGCAGCCTTCCAGTATCTGAAGGGGGGCTATAGGGATGATGGGGAGGGACTCTTCATTAGAGACTGTAGTGACAGGACAAGGGGTAACGGGTTCAAACTTAAACAGGGGAAGTTTACATTGGATATAAGGAGGAAGTTCTTTACTGTAAGGGTGGTGAGGCACTGCAATGGGTTGTCCAGGGAAGTTGAGAATGCTCCATCCCTGGCAGTGTCCAAGGCCAGGCTGGACAGAGCCTTGGGTGACATGGTTAAGTGTGAGGTGTCCCTGCCCATGGCAGGGGGGTTGGAACTAGATGATCTTAAGGTCCTTTCCAACCCTAACTATTCTATGATTCTACAATTGTGAATGACCTTAAGACTCAACATTAACAACATAGCACTTCCTGTATGTTTGCCTCCATACTCAGAGATAATACACTCCTGATTCTCAGCCTATTATACAGCAGCCCTGCCTCTGGGCCAACACAACTCCTGTGATTAGTAAAGATCCAGTCCCACAAGATGAGTGGTCATTTTTACAGGTTCTGTCCAACACAAAAGGGAAGCTCCAGAGCCCTCTCCAGTATCCTTCCCTCTCTTCGGCCGTTTGGCTTTTGCCAACTGTAGCATTCCACAGACACTTTCAGGGACTGCTGAAGTGGACTCAAAGTGGCAGAACAAAAAAAAAGGGGGCGGGGGGAAGAAAATGCCTCAAAGACCTGTGTTCTAGCACTGATATGCTATGGGGCTTACAGAAAGCATCAGGAAGACCCCTACAATGGTGGAGGAAGCCACACAGCCAAGAACAGCAAAGGACAGGAGGAAGGAAAGAACAAACAATGTCTTGTTTCCTCTGTTACAGGTACAAGACACAGGACTTACGACTACTGCTCACTGAACCACCAGTGAATGCAAGCCTGAAAATTCAAACCAGGTATATTCAATACTTATATCTAAAACACATCCTAGAACAATGACTCAGAACAAGAAGCTAACCTTCATACGTTGAGAGAGACTACCAAGCGGCAATAGAGTGCATAAAGTATTCTTAAAAGACAACTGGAATGTCATTCAAGTATTTTTCAACTGCTAATTCATTCCAGTAAAGTTTCCTTTTCTAGTTCTCAGTAAAGGAAGTTCAGCAGGTTTTTTCCAAGCATTTTGCTCAGAGTCTTCATCTACTGTTGAACAGTCCTAAAACACCTGAAGTATCAGCTGGTATAAATAAAGCAGATTCCACTAATCAGCATTAAACCTGCCAGCAGTCAGTTAGAACCCAGTATAAATGACTTTTGGGGATCTTTAATATGTTAACATTTATTTGTTGAATTCTGTGCTGTGTCAGGATGACAAGAAAAGTCCTGTACTACCTGAATGCAGTAGGACACGAAATTCAGCAGACAATGGAAACAATGTGAAGAGCATCTAGGATGCTGATCAAGAAGCAAGTTTGCAGCATCTGTCAGTGACTAGCATGTTGTGGTAAAAGCAGCTTACATTCCTTCTAAAAGAAATTAAAAAAAAAAGATCAGAGGAACACACTCACCTTATCTGGATGAACTACAAGCACTGCTTTCCTGTAGTACTTCTTTACTTGTTCAGGAGTTACTAGATCTGCCATGCTGACTGGTTTCCACTTATTTTCCCCTTCCCAAAGCACTGTATGAAGAGTGGATATTAATGCTCTGATATTTCTCTCCTTTCCTTCAATCCATTCAAGAATCTGGGAAAAATAGAACATACAGCACTGAATGCAGCACTGTCAGCATTCTCAGTCTGTCCAGAGATACAACCTTCACTATGTATAAGACTACAAGAGTAAGACTCAAGTACAGTTGTCTTGCTGCATTAGCCCCCAGGTCCAAGTGTCCTACTATATTCTTCTTTCTGGCACCCAGATCATTAGCCACCCAAAGTGAAATTTTGCATCTGCCGCTAGGGTGTAACTCATTGTCATTAGTTTATTGCGGATATTGAGGCATTGGAAGAGAAATTACTCAGATGGTTACACATCAGAAAACCCTGCAAAAATAATGACAAGAGAATTGACAGAGTAATTAAAAACATTTGTTACGATTACATTAATTCCCTGTCAGGGCACAACACTGATTTACTAAAATTCTTCCCTGATCTGTACACAATTGCAGGTCACATATATTAGTAGTTAATGTTTACTTAAGCAACCTGCAGGGGTGCACAAACTGAAGTGTTTTTTCAGATACCCCCCATGAAACTCGATTAGAATAAGTGGCCATTTCACAGACTTTAAAAATACTATTCAAGCCTCTACAATACAGTAATACAATGTCCTCACTGAACACTACTTTACATAATATGAAAATCTCTGCTTTCTGTCGGCAATCAGTATGGTAAATAAAAATCTCTATTTCCATTTATTGTGATTTGTGTTAAAAGGTACTCAGGCAAGCTCTGCACACTCTCTTAAGGTAAGATACTCTGTGAAAACTGGTTTCAGCATCCCTTGAATTATTTTACAAGGTTTTCTAAAGTACCATACAGACCACAAAACTGAAAATATATTAATATGTGATGTTATCAGTGAGTAATACATCAAAAAACCCTAACAGCCTACCAGGTAACACCCCACAGACTAGTTCTACAGCTCATCTCCAGAACTGCATCTTTTAGTTATTTCCTAGGACAGTAGCAGTATTTGTTAATGGCAAATGCAAGTTAATGGTCACCCTGGAGACAGCTATTCTCACTGCCTGCTTTTAAAAACAGTAGTTTTGTATTATGAGACATATCTAGCTTCAAGAAATGGGCTCTGACAGGAAAACAAGTTCCTAAATTCTCCAAGGTTAGCTGAAATAAACAGAAAATTGCATTCCATCCAAATAATTTTTGTGTTGTTGCCACTGCTGTTTCATTGCCAACTGAGTCTTGTTCATGCTAATTAACTTCTACAGTCATATGATTTAAATACAGATAAAATTTCATTCTGCTTTATCAGTCTTCTCTGTTAGTCACTGTATTTCCTGTCCTGGTATCAGCAGTTTTAAGCATAAGCTGAGATTTTATTTACATAGAAAACTCTTAAACCTTGAGTTTCAAGGGGTCCATATCTTTAGACATTTCTTGTTTCCTCATCTCAGCAATGGTCTTTGGTCCCTTTTTATCAGATTTAGCTGAAAATCCTTGATTAGATAAGAGATCCTCAAAGTCATTTTCTGAAACTTTTGGCTTTTGACCTATGGAAGGAGAAAAACATGAAATGAAAAATTACATAGGAGTATATATTAACAGGGGAAATACATTGCACTTAGATACACCTGTATGACGTTCCTCACTATCATGATAAATATTCTTTAGTGGCTTGATTAACTCCACAAGATTAACAGAAGGACAGGAACAAAGTGATCACTGATGTACTTTCAGTCCAGCAAAACAAACAGCTGTGTTTGACTATTTGCATGTCTTTTGGTGTTATTTTCCCCCCAAAAAACTGAGTAGATTAGAGGGAGTACCCATCTACCTATTCATGATTTCGGAAATGGTTCCATTTTTCCACTATAAAGTAATTTTAACTGCTGTACAGCAGTTTGTCAAGTGACCATATACTTCATACTCTAGTCAACATTTAAGTATGCCAAAACTTAAAAATATCAATAAAATATCAATGAAATATCAGTATCAATGGTCATTATAGAACCAACAAATTTCAGAGAACTGCAGACTGACTGAATTCTGAAGAGGCCTCTGGATGTCACCTAGTCCAGTCCCCACTCAAAACAGGGTAATTCCTCAGGTCCTTGTCCAGTTGAGGCCTACCCGTTTTCAAGAATGAGGAACTGCAACAACTCTTGCACCATTTCAGCATTTCATCATGCTAAAGAAAATTGATATTTTCTTCCCTGTTCTCCCTTCTTCCTGTGCTGCAGCTCACACCCCCTGCCTTTCCATCCTGCCCATCTCTTTCCAGATACAGATCAAAAGAATAATTTCAACTTTAGGAAGTACCTGATGTTCATTTATATGCCAATTAAATAAAGGGAGGCATAATCCTAATACCAACACACCAGGAAAATAGTTTTTTCCAAGAATGTAGATAAGCCCCTGTCCATCCCTATACCTCTAGGTTTGCCTGTTCAGTTGGAACATCTTACAGGACTGGTTCCAAAAGTGATTCCACCTGCTCCCATCCCACCACGATTTGAAACACAAGAATTTCCAGTAAGTTTAACCTTAAACTAAGACTAGCTACTATTCTTCAGCTAAGAAGAATGTCGCATCTTTTTACTGTATGTATCACAAGCACCATTATAAGTAGTGTTTCAGAAAACTTACCAAAGCTTGGGGTTCTGACTCCTCTTTCTTCTCGTCCTCCAATAACACCGAAGTTTACTGTATAATTTGGTTTAGCTGCTGTGCTGGATTTAGGCTGAGATTGCCATGAAGTACTTTGTGGTTTTGTGGATTTCTGCCACTGATTACCCAGTTTCTGAGATGGAGCAGTCTTCTGACCAAAGCCACCAGTCAAGAGTCCACTACTGGAAGAACCTAACAATAAACGCTAAATTATTTGTTCAGCTCAGTATCTGTCACCTGTTTAACACAAGACAGTTTTGTCTTGACACCTAACATAGTGTGTTATTACACTGTCACCACAGTGATATCACTACACAGGAGAAAGTGTAACAGAAAAGTGTAAAATGAAGTTAAGAGTCTCATTAACAAGTAACTTGGATGGCAGGAGCTAGAGCCATTAGTGAATTCATTACACTTCAACATCTGTTAATAAGCAGAGAACACGGAAAAAGTAATCACACAATCAAGAAAGTGTAAGATAAATAGTATTTTCAAGTGAATGCTTTCAAAGTCTAGTGATTTCTTGCACTACTGTTTAAGAAAGATGAGAAAGTTATTCTACAGCAACATTAGCAGGGAATGTTGCACATGGGCAAAAAAGCACTGAAGCCTGCAAGAGATACTGTTGTAATCACCCTGGCGTGATCTATAGGCCTTTATCAACAAATATGGACTAAATTTTCAGCATCCCATTTCCCTTCATTAAACCAGTATGAATAACACTGAGTACTGTAGAACACAGAAAAGGCCCTGTGTGTTCTTCCAGAGTAGCAGGTGAAGCTGCTAAGAAATGTAAACAAATTGAGCAAAATGCAAACAAATCAACCTTTTAAATTCATTTTTCAGCTTTTTCTCTCCCTGATGAGACTAAACATGGTTTTGGTGGTTTTTTTATTATAAACCAAGCTACCATTAAATTGCCCTTGACTGACTTCCTTTGGAAAGACTCTTAGAAACAAAGTTCCCTTGACAACTTGCTTATACCTGGCATGTATCCATCACAGGATAAAAATAGCATGGTTGAATTTAGATATGTCTAATTTTTTTGGAAGAGAAAACATTTTATACTCTTATGGCATCCTAAAACAGATTAAGACCTCTCCATGTTGAAAGAATTCCCTAAAAATGAACATGAATTCAAGACTAGTGGTCAAATAAGGTTACACACCTGAAGCCTCCAGAAAGTATAGTGAATGCAACACTAACGCTTCAAAACAGAAGTCTTTATCACTTGGTCTTGAATGACAACCTTATGATCCCATCTCATTATTTCTTGGAGGAAGGTGAATCAGTATTTGCATCTCCACATACATTATTCATCAGATGATGATGATTAACCTGACTTTCAGCTAAAACACATCCCAAGCCAGTTTAAACTTGTTTTTACTTCCCACCTCTTTTATTTACCCTACAGCCTCAGAAAGAAAACACCCAAGCTTGTCTGTGTATACATAGCAATGTGAACTCAGTTTCCTCTTTCAGCTCCTCAACTCCCCTGATAGCTCTTTTGTGGCGGCTGCTGCTGCTCACATTTATGACAGCTTACACAACAGGACAGTCCCCAGGACCATGTACAGTATACCATACTAAGCCTCTAAATACCACACCTGATTAAAACCTACTACTGCAATGCAACACCTGATAAAATCTACCATTGCACTGTTTTTTCATGAAAGCACACAATTGCATTGTCAAGTCAAGTCAGACTCTGGTCACTTCTAATTTGTGGTCCCTGTTACTAGTCAGAGTACATGACCTCATACACTGAAAAAATAATCTGATTCTACCACTCTTTCAAGGAATTCTACATTCATTATTTCAGTGTTCAAGGCCAACCAATTCTTCCTGTAGGACAAGCCAATGCCTCACTATCATCAGTAATTTTCAGCATCACACTCCCACTTTCTGCTACAAGATTACTCCTTGAAGAGTGTAAGAATACAAACTATGACAGAACACTACTGGTATCCTACCAAAAGCCGAATACACTACCACTAACTACCTTTAGCTATAATTTGTTTTCTGTTTATATAGCATTCCCCATATAAGCAGCTTTCTCTCTCATAACTGTTCTTCCAGAGTAACGACTTGTATGTGAAGGCCAAAAAAGTCCTTTGAAAAATACAACAGTCTAAACTCCAGTTCTTGTAATTCCCAGAAAATTTAGTTCAAGCCCAAGAAGGTTAACTAGTACAATGACATGTGGCTAATTTTAAACACAGTAACTTTTCCTATTGAAAGTTAACTAACAGAACTAATGAACTGATCTAAATCCTGCTAAAACCAGTACAGTTTCTTTCACTGGTTCAGTGTGTGCTATACCTACATCTCCAAGTCAAAGACTATTTCTTTTTTACTGCTACACTATAGATTTAACATGTTCATTGAACTAAAAAGTTTCTGTAGATTTTTTTACTACTGAGCCACCTTATTGGTACTGCTTCAACACTAGAATTTTGTGAGTAATTACAAACAGGCAACACTAAGAAGTCAAACGTTGTATGTGACCCTGTGTTTATTTCACCAAGAGGGTGATCAATTCAATACACATGGTAACTCCCAAGGCAACAGGATAAAACCCTCTATGAGCTTCAGGCTAAAGGAAAAGAACATTCCTGCAATTCTGCAACTACACAACTACAGGCTGTTCCAAATCATTCCTTGGATTTCTGGTGGCTAGTCACATCAAACAGCAACAAATCAGTGATCTGCTATTACGGCAGTGAGGTCCTGAAATGCAAGGACCTGTGCTCCTTCTATTGCCCTTAGTATTTCTGCTGTTTAAGAATGCTGCAGGGCTAATTTCTGAGTCTGGGGTAAACATAACATCCCGGGACAAATGTTAAACTACAGTGTGTCTCATCTTCCATAACTTCTTGTGCACACCACTGCAAACTGACAAGTGTTCATAATGCACAGGAATAACATGAGCAAGTATGGGCTTGATCTGTGTTCACACAAACATGACAGATTTGAGTAGCACAGCTATGAATTCAAATAAGAGTACTGAATAAAAGGAAAACAACTGTCACTTTGTAACTAACAATTTAATCATGTTTTCATTTATATCCTTCACAGATAGATCAATAATGATAAGAAACCTCATGCTCAGTTACTGGATCAGCAACTCCTTGTTTCTCTTACCTTCTAACAACTAGATTCTGAAGCACTAAGTATTTATACTGTTTCTAAATCACAGTTGTGGTTATTTTCTGAAATATTACTCTGGATGTTTCACAAAATCTCTGTAAAGATTCAATCTGGTTGAGTCCACTCTCAGCAACTACCTCAAGCTGGCTGTTAACAATTACAAGAAAACACTTTCTTTTATGTAAGCTGTCAGTTTCATTGACTGTTACATGAAGCAAATCAAACTGTAAGGGCATTAAGCATAGTCTCTTAAACGTAAGTTCCTACCTGGAAGACCAGATCCAAGATTGGCAAGATCAGCAAAAGGATCAAAGTCTTGAGATTTTGCCTGACTGAAAGACAGACCTGAAGACACACTGGACTGGCTCCCTGTTGTAAAAGCTTGACCTGTATGATAAGAAAACATATTACGTACTTGGTGTTATTTGGAAATTGAGAAAATGAATAAAAGTACTATTTCCACAATACCTTGTGTAAACCTCCCCAGCATTCTGTTCCATGACACCTTTTACCACAAGAATCACCATTACTATAGGGACTGTAGCGACAGGACAAGGGGTAACGGGTTCAAACTTAAACAGGGGAAGTTTACATTAGATATAAGGAGGAAGTTCTTTACTGTAAGGGTGGTGAGGCACTGGAATGGGTTGCCCAGGGAAGTTGTGAATGCTCTATCCCTGGCATTGTTCAAGGCCAGGCTGGACAGAGCCTTGGGTGACATGGTTTAGTGTGAGGTGTCCCTGCCCATGGCAGGGGGATTGAAACTACATGATCTTAAGGTCCTTTCCAAACCTAACTATTCTATGATTCTATAGACAACTGAAACTATTTGGTTCTTCTGCTTTGAACTTGAAAACTACAAAAAGTGCCTTATTAAAGAGGCATTTGAGCACAAGTGCACAGAGTCCTTTAAGCAACAAAAGGCATGAGGACATGTTAAGCAGTTTCAGGTGATTAAACTGACCAAGTCTGAAATATTCCTTATTCCTTCTAATGTAAAGATTTAATTTCATAATACCTTCAAAAAGAGGCTTCAACTGTGGTGACGCTACATTGCCAGATGCTGAGGAATCTGCCCAAGAATCCCATCCACCTAAGAGATCTGGGTGGCTCGTAGAAGATGGCATTTTAGATGGCTCTGGTGTCAAATTTCCTGCAGAGAAAAAATAATCTTTTGATTATTCTTTTAAGAAAACCATTACAATAATGGATATTTTGCCAAAAATCAATAGAACTGTGAAACAGACTGTCAGCTATAATGGCCAGCTACATGGCTTACTGAAATTTCTCCATATCACAGGCCTCAGAATGGTTTTACCACTGGAATCCCTTCATTTGTATTTGAAACATCCCATCCTCTTCACAGAAAGGATATTTTCATGCACCCGCAATGCTATGAACTATGACTAGCTAAGGGATGGCACGCTGTTGTTCCTGACAACACAGTAGGTAACCAGAAATCAGCAGTGCCTCATGAAGTGGTGTTCCATACCACTCAGCAGTCTGGGTACTACAGAGATGGAACCAGTCTACTTCAAACTGCAGGTTTGCCTACCCAAGGCCTCATCTGACAAACAAGAGTTCTTGATAAACTAACATCCCCTTTAGGTTAAATCCATGAATGAAGGCATGCAATTGAAAAGCAGGATACAGGAAAAGATCGATTCTGGGAAAAGACTGAGAATCACTACATCCATGGAAAAAGCCATTTTTCTGTATTCAACACAAGACCACCACACCAACTACAAACAGGCAATGAAACAGTCACATTCAAAGGATGCAAGGCTGCTTCCACTAACTTCTAGAATGCATCACATCCAATACAAAGTTAAAACTTTCACCCCTGATGCTTGCAAATTATTCCACCCTCTGCCACACACAGTATGAGGCAAGCCATCCTCAGAGTGGGAGGTCCTAAGTATGGAACACTCAAAGCTTCAGGCCAGCTCCATGCATTCCTTTTGAGCACAGCTTTCAGAGACTCAGTGAAGCAAGACAGCTTTTGAATGTAACTACCCCTTAAGTGCCACAGCAACAGTCAGTGCCAAAGGAGAGGTGGTGTTTCAGCAAAACCAGTAAGTTTAGTGGTGTCCTAAGACATTTTGAGGACCTAAAGTTTGGAAAGCTAACCCAGCCACCCTTACACAAATAGTGCCATTTTGATACTTTGGGATGTTTTCACTACTACATCACAGTTTTTCACTTCTCTCAGCTTCTCAACTTTACATTCTGAATACTGATATCAAATCACAGAAGCCATTTTATCTTATTTGAGGAAACAATTCGAAGCAAATGAAGTACCTCCTCCACCAACTCAATCCACTAATCCTATTTATACTTAGATCTTACAGCTGCAAAGAGAACACATCAAATACTCCGCAACACATTGCTATAATACGGGCTCTAGGCAGACGAGTCACTTCTGCTGCATGTAAAGAAAACAGAATAAAATGTAGAGCAGCCATCAAAGTCTTCTGACGGGATAGTACAATTTTTAGCTCTTTCTCCAGACTTAAGCCTCAGTGTATCTGCCTCAGTACTCAGGACCCCAGCTATCTGCTACATAGCAGTGTCACTGGCTATAAACATCAAAGTATGTGAAAGTGTCTATTCATTAGTTTAAAAATCTGCTGTACCAGATGACACTCTCAACATTAATTCAATTAATACTGAATTAGTATTGATTTTAAGCTAGAAATAGTTTTAGCTTATTATCTCTGCTATTGCAAGGTTTTTACAGGGCATGGGGAAATGAACCACCACATACATAATTAACTATTGTAAAACCAAGTTGAGAGAAGTGAGAATAAAGTAAACTACAGCTAAATGCATTCTGAAAGACCGAGAATACAGTAGAATAATCAGGTGTTTTATAACTGCTGTTGTAAGAGCAGTCAAGTTCACCACTTCCCCCACCCTGAACACAGCAAGGAGTAGCCTACTGCTATGCACACTCCTAAATGCACTATGAATAGCATAAGCTCACATACATCCACTACACTTCCATCAGAAAAATCTGAAACAACGGAGTACAAGAACATACTGAACAGAGATGTTCCTCCTCAAACTGTTTATCATTATGCGATAGTATTTCTAGTTGTACAACTTAGGCATTGCAATAGATTCTAATATCAAGAAATGGTGTTATACATATTCTGATGAGGCATGACAAGACCACACCAACTACAAACGGGCAATGAAACAGTCACATTCAATGGATGCAAGGCAGAATCCTTTGGTTTTGTAACCTGGCACGCTGGAGTTTGTACAGACGCATCAAGGTAAAGGAGCAGAGTATCTAAACAAAGGGTAAAACATGAAGCATAGCTAAATATGGCAGAAATTGAAGCAATTGAGATATTGGACAAGCAGATTCATTCCTGTTTGTCCCTTAAGTTCTTCATTAACATGCTTATTTATAACCCTTATCCATATAGCAGCAAGCCACTGGAGGTCAGGGCACAGTTCTATACTAATACTGCTCAAACCAAACTAAAAAAAAAGTAAGATGGTGGTAATCAGATGACACTTTCCATCTTCCCAAAATAAGAGATCTGCATTTTACTATATCCTACATGCAACTTCATGTACAGTTTTCTTTATTTAACTTCTCTACAGAAAATCCTTTAATCACAGAGGACAACAGGATTTCCTGTGAACTAAGAGGCTGATTTAGTATGATGCAAGGTTTTTTAACCACATCTAAAGCCTGACTGAGAACACAGTTGTCACAGAAATTAACTTCCACTCAGGAGAAGACTTAGATTTCTTTTGATCACCTTCCACATCTCCTTCTATCTTTCGATCAGATCATTCTGATACAGGGAAATACATGCCTAACTCAACTTTTAGTAGAGATGGCTTCTACTTGAATAGTCAAATGTTCTCAAAAATGCTCACTGAACAGATACCTAAAGAAAAGTGGATACTCCTCCAGCCTCTGAGAACAGCCTGCTTTTGCAAGTGAGGCCACTTAAGAGCAGGTTACCAATTCTGAAGGGAACAGTCATTCTACCTAATAGCTTCTCTGCCAAATTAGTACAGCTTTTCACAGAAAATTACCTTGTTAACACACTGCCATTTAGCAGCAAATGCTCAAAATTTTCATATTAGAAGACAGAATTCCTTAACAGACTGGATATTCTTTAAGACCTTTAATACAAATTGAAATTACATTTCAAAACTCCTGTGCTTTTAAATTTCAAGCCACACTGAGAATTACAAACCTTGGACTGTAATTCTGGAACTTGTGTTCACTGAAACAGCTTTTCTCCTGATATCTATAAATGTTTAGCAACTGTTTACTCCTGAAGACAACTCATCACTAAAATTTAATTCTAGACATTTATTACTGCTCCAACAATAGCTTAACAGCTGAACATTAACAGTGGTCTCCTTGAGGATGCAGGTACATATTTATACTGTAGAAATTCACATGTATGTCTTTTTCCAATTTAAATTTGGTACATAAAACAGTTCTCTGATGTAGGGATTGGAGCACCTCTGGCAAGAGGATAGGCTGAGGGTGCCGGTATTGTTTAACCTGGAGAATAGAAGGACTGGGGGTGGGCAACCTTATCAATGTACATAAATACTTAACAGGAAGAAATAAAGACTGAGCCTGACTCTTCTCAGTGCTGCCCACTGGAAGGACAAAAGAGGCAATGGGCACAAACTGAAACAGTTTCTTCTGTAAGTAGTCAAACACTGGCACAGGTACTCCCTAGATGTTGTACAGTCTGCATTCCCAGAAATAAATGAAAATTGGCAAACACATGGTCATTAGCGGCCTGCTCTACTTGACCCTGCTTTGAGCAGGCCAACTAGCTAATCTCCAGAGGTCCCCGTCTCTGGAGTGGGGCAGAGTTTGCCTGAGATGATGCTCCACAGATCAATATTGATTAAATCCTCTAATGAGCAGAAAAAAAACATCTGTTTGGTAACATCATGCAGTGACAACAACAGCGTCCTAACTAAAAGATGCATAAAACTGGCAATTATAAAAGTACACAACTAAAAAAATACATCTGTTACTATTTATATAACAGAACAAAATTGTTGCAAAGGAAGCAGCAAGTGGGAACTTCTCAGAAGAGTCAACCACAGCTGAATATAATTGCTTAAATACATTATAAAGCAGGCAATCGGCTAGCTAACCTTGCATTTTCTGAGGAGGAAGCTCTCACCTCAGCCAGGCAAATACTGCATCTTTCTTTTAATCTGGTTTCTCTGTAGCTAACACTCAGTCTGCATCACCCTGCATGGTCAAGCAGACCAACTGGCCAACAAGGAGGGGCAACTCAAAACCACATGCAATATGCTCTGGGAAGACACTCCTGGATTCAGGGCAACAGAGGCAATACCACCATTTCTAGCTACCTTCAATTTATATGTGGGGGTCTGTAGCAGTAGCCTCTGAGGAGAGACCTGTACTGCTCTGTGCTGGACACAGCTGTATCCAACAGCCATCTCCAACAGACCCACGCAGCTGAGGACACAGCTGAGCCCCTCAGCCAAAATGGGGGCACCTCTGGGAAAACACAGGTAAACATGTTACAAAATGCTGCACAGCAGCTGTGACAGGGGTGAGAAAAGGATGAGAAACAGCCCTGCAGACTCCAAGGTCAGTGGAACAGGAGGAAGAGGAGCTCCAGGTGCCAGAACACAGATTCCCCTGCAGCCCATGCTGAAGACCACAGTGGAGCAAATACCCACAAGCAGCCTATGGGGGACTCCACACAGGTTGCATGCCCTGGATTAAGCTGCAGACCACAGAAAAGAGCCCATGCAACAGCAGGCTCCTGGTAGGAGCTGCAGCCCCGCAAGGACCCACGGTGGGGCAGCCTGTTCCTGAAGGACTGTATCCTAGAGACCCATCTTCTTGAAAGACTATCCCATGGAAAGGGCCTATGCAAGAGCAGGAGAACAGTGTGGGGATGAAAGAGCAGCAGAGAAGAACTGTTACAGACTCCCATTCCTATGAGGAAGACTCATGTTTTTCTTTGAAAGACACATTTAAAAAGCAGCACTTCAGGCTCTACCACTCCATCATTTTTGCAAGGTTTCTTTTGAAGAATAAGCATGCTTAGCAGCTCTATTTAGTAACACTTTAGAAATGATGTGCTTAGGATAGAGATATGGGAAGACCAAATATACCGAAGCTTGTTTACATTAATAGATTTTAAAATAAATGCATGAGGAAAAGGCTTCACCAAGAATGCATCAGAGAAATTAAGTGAAACAAGATTAACATATTACATAACATACTCCATAAGTATATTACCAGACTGCATTCAGGTCATGAAGGTCCAAGCTATCCTCAGCTTGCATTTTAAGAACTGGGTATTCTATAACTTGACTTGCTCATTTCTCTCCCAAGGCTACTAGAAAATCTTTAAAATCTGAATGCAAGCAAACTAGCAATCTGCTAACTGAAACCAAGTAAGTTTGCACGTGTTTGTGTACCCTCAGCTCTAAGAGCTCTCAAAGGAAACAACAGCTCCTAACAGAAGCAATGCTAGAAATCCTCTCATCATAAGTATTAGCATGACATTATACAGGATATGTTACTTGGTGCATTCATATCCACATTCCCAGAACACAGAGCTAATTAAAAGAGCAGTCACAACAAGTGGATCTATTAAGGCTCTAATCCACCTTGACTAAGCTGAAAGGCAAATGCACAGAGCAGCAGAAACTGTTGAGAAACAGAACACCAGAAGCACACTTACCTAAATGCAAGAAATCTGAGCTGGAAGAAGGAGGAAATGAACTGTGTGCAGAAGGAACTGTACTAGATGTAGATGTTGAAGCTGGATGAAGGAAGTCTCCAAAGAGGTCTGGACCAGACAAGGCTTGATTGCCTGAACTTGATGACACTGTGAATGGGTCAAAAGGATCAGCTAAAAAATAAGGGGGGGGGGGGGGAACAAAAAAACAAAAACAAAAACAAAACAAATTTTAGAACAAAGTTGATAAAGCCTCAGTCCTCTGGGGGCACACAAAGATTAGAGCTTATGCTGATAACTGCAGCAGCTTTCTGAGAATTTTTCATGGTAGTTACCACCTATCCCCTTCCTTTAGACATTCGTACTTCCACGTTGATACAAGTAGTATTTTAGCCATGTACAATATGCACAGCTATGTCTTCAAACACAAATCCTTACCAAGACTGCATACATTCAATAACATTATTAATTTCATCCATGTAAGACACCTTAAGTGAGCAATCAGCTGCATAAAATAGAAGAATTACGTTTGTTAAATGTTCTATAATGTCAAATCTCTGGAGAGTTTAAACAAAACAGACTACTAAACTACTAAAAAGTATATTAAGTAAAACATTCATACTACCATTTTGACTCAAAGGCATTGGTGACTCTGGGGCAGAAAGCACGTCAACCCAAGACTGAAAACCAACAGAAGCAAGGCTTTCAACAGGTCTCTAGTGATCACAGTGAAGAAAAAAAGCGATTGGAAGAGTATTTATAGTATGGGGCAACATGTGACAGTCAGCTGGAATTATGGCTTGTGATCCTCCCGTTTCTGCTGCCCCCTAGGGTCAAAATCGTCAAGAGCCCAGGGACTCTTGCCAGATTCACTCAGATGCTGAAGAGAAGGAATAATCCTGCCACAATGCACTAGCACATCCAGGGGTGATGACCACATTGTCCAAGACTCAGTATCACTTCAAAAAAAACAAACCCTGAATTGACATCGAGCTATCTACTCTGGCATTGCATGTACATAAAACCTCAAGTACAAGTTTGATGTGAAAATGAAAATACCACAGTGGCCAAATATTCTTACTTCTGTATCTTTTATCCAATTCAAAAGTAGTTAGATACATACAGGACTACTGTCCAGGTGTTTCAAAGAAAAAAAAAAGCCATAAGGCTTCACTTACAGACTTTTGCTTATGTAAAAAAAAGGTAAATTGATTTCACATAGATCACAGTGATGAAAATCAATACTGAACTGCTTCAAAAGAAAGTAATATTTTAAATAACGTAAATTGTCTACAAAAATACTCTTCAGGTGTATGTAGGTTAAAGCTTTTACACCAAATAAATTATCTAATTATCTTTGTGCAAATAAACTAAACCTTGGAAGTTTCATAGATTCTTTGACTAATATCCTCCAAATCTGTTCAATGCAGGCAGAGAATTGCTACTCCCAAAAGTTTAGTCATGTGACAATGACCCAGCTATCCATTGGCAAGAGGAACAGAACCTCTAAAGTAAAACATCTTGTTTTAAATGCCAAGTACCTAGCAGTGTGTAACATTCTCTTTCAGGTATAAACCTGCAAACATTATCAGCAAATCCAGCAAGAAAACGCTTTCTAGCAGTATGCTACTGGTCTGAGCAGTAACCTACACAATTTCCAGCTCCCTAGCAGTCTTAAATGATTAACACTCAAAAATCCCACACAGATGCTTGACTTAAGCAGCACAGCTCTGTACTACATCTAATGCTATTGCTTATATAAAGTGCAAGAAAGCAGTAATTCATTAGAATTATATTCCTTAGCAAGAGAAGTTATTTCCTTATGGATTTAGAAGAGAATTTGGCATGTGATGTTTGTATGGAAATTGTTTAAGAATACTGAATCTCTTTTAAATTCAAAATTTGATTCTTTTCTGTTTACATGGTTTACAGCTGATATTGGCAACATGACAAAACACCCAGATAATATACAGCCATTTCTCTCCTTTACACAGTAGAAGCATCTATTCTATGCAGATTCTTGCTACAGACGCATATGTCTTCACTGTACCAACCAAAACACAAGACTCATTTTCTAAGCACAATGTAAGCAGCAGTTTTCACCTGCTGGCCAGCCAGAGTAGTAATGTTAAATTTACCTACCTGAAGATAAGGCTGTTGCTGAAGATGTACCCTGAGTAGCAGTTGGACACTGACTGCTGAAAAAGAAATCTGTTCCTTGTCCAAGAAGATCCCCAGTGGGCTCTTGTGATGCATTACCCACAAACAGATTGTTCAATAAGTCCGCATTACTCGATGAAGAATTTGTTTCTGAGACAGGTTGTTTCTGTTGTAGTGAAATATCAGAGTCTAGTCCCAGTAAGTCTACATTTTCTTCAGGAAGAGATTTTTGTATTGGTGCAGATGGAGCTTCAAAATTGGCTTCAAAAAGCAACTCTCCTTCTGGAGTAATAGAGTCTTTTTCCTCAACGCTTACTGCACTTTCTTCACTTGGAAATGTAGGGAATTCTTCATCTGAAGGCCCACTCTCCTCCCTACCATCAGACAGCTGAACAAAATCGTTTTTAGATGAACTGTCCTCTATTCCACTTTCTGGACTTTTCCCTTCTTGAATAGAAAGAAATAACATCTTTAGATTACCAGGATTCTTCTGCCAACTAGAATAAGCACAGACTTAAATGGTAAGATCATATGAGGTCAATCCTTAATTAATTAAAGCTCACAAAAGAATTGATAAAAAATTAACTGATGCCTACCACCTCTTCGTACAGGGCAGGCAAGCGGCAGCTCACTACCATATTTGCTACTCTGCAAGGGCAGGTATTGCGGATTTTTTCAAAATAAAACTGACTTCGACATTCATCTCAGAACACCTTACCACTTACGGCTTAGAAGATTAGTCACTAACTGCTGCTTTACTCAGTAACAGCATTCAATGACAGCATAAGCATTTACTGATGTTTTTGCCATCAAAGCAGAACCCAGAAGGAAGGCTTACACACACACGATAAAGTTATGCTATCTCAGTCCATACACACTGATACAGAGCCCACTGGTTAGTCTACTTTTCCTGTTCCTCAACCATTGTAAGTGGAGCTGTGGCAAAACAAAGGCTTCCTTGCAGACTTTTAAGGTTAAGATTACTGCAGAAAAAGAAAAATTCAGCTTGGCATTTAAATTACACACAATACCAAAAAACTGCTACTTGCTGTTTATCCTAGCGGAGTGGAATGGCCACCTGCAAACCTGCAGAGCTCACTCTTAAAATAGCTTTTTCTCATGTTCTGCTGAAATAGTGACTTTTGCTGCATAAGAAGGCTTAAGCACTCACTGGAAGGTGTACAAGACAACGATACACCAGATAGTTACTTCAGAAGAAAACAGGTACCTTTCCAGTCCAGAGAATGAAAGAAATTATTTGCATCGGTACTACTGCTCTGTGGGGATTCTGTATCAGTAGGTGCACTTTCTGAAGATTGCTCTAGCTGAGATGCTTCTGCTTCATATTGTGCAGTTGAACCTGGTTGTCTAGGCAGCTCCGGTTTCCCTGTAACACAGATTTTAAGCCAAACCCTTACACAGAAACTTCTAAAACTCAATCCTGGTCCTAGGAGTTGGCTAGACTACAGCAAGACAACTGTCTCAAAGTATCCACTGCTCTGCAAAGCGGAAGTCATACTCCCAGAGCCTATTTGAAATTAGCAATTGACTTTGTTTCAACTTAAAAGCTGGTGAGACCATAACAACAGCATTTAATTAAATCAAACTCACAGAAAAACACTGAAATATTTTATTTACAGGTTTGCAGGGAAATGTAATTAACACCTCACTTGTACCAACTTTCCCCTAAAATATGCAAGAGCTATGAACAATGTCTGCAATAAGGAACAGAATATCAGAAAAGAGCAAATGCAGCTATAGGGAGACCCCAGAGTATATAGCCAGAGAAGAACACGGAGCGATTAACTACTCCCTATGTTTCTTATTTTACTGAGATCAGATATTAAGCGACTCTTGTGCAAAACTGAGTTGTGTTGAGTTACATACTACTGTACCACCTCTCAAGAAGAAGGCTTCCTCATGGCAAGTAGGAAGACTCCCTAAATTAGTAAGTGTACAACCACTCTTTGAAAAGAATAGAATGAATACCTGGGAGAAAATTACTTGTCTAAATCTAAACTGGTAGAACACTTCACCTTCCTTTCACAAACTCAGCTATCGTTTACAGAGATGCTGAAAAATATAGTCTGCCTTAGAACACAGATATGAACGTTCATGAGTAATGAACTAGTACAAATTCAATTTTAATAAGGCAAGTTTTATAAAACCTGTTCACAGCACTTGCTCTTCTCCTATTCCCTTCCCTCCAGTTTTAAGAAGTATTTTCAGTAGAATTTGAAACTCTTATATTTCATTTATAAATCAGAAAATGGAAGTCACTTAAAAATAAGATTCATTTTTAGAGATCTGCATTATCAGTGAAACATCTTTAGTAAGAAATTTTTTTACATCTCTATAAACTTAGTTAAATAGAAAATCACCTAAATCATAATATGAACCATACATATGATTCTAAAAAAGCATGTAAGAGCAGCAACCCACCTTGTAGCAAAAAAAGTGTAATTAAGATGTATCATATTAAGGGGCAGAAAGTAAGAGCTCACGTATGGTATACTAAAATCACTACAGTAATCTCCATCATGCTTTTTATTCTGGAAGCAAAGATAAGGTTTAAGGGCCTTAAAGGAAATGTCAAAGCTAATTACTGATACCAGGAGAAGAAAGATACTGAACAATATTAACTGGAATTAATGAAGGCATCTACAAATGAATCACAGAATATGTAGTATTAAAAAAAAAACAACAAAAGCACAAACATCTACTAGACCACATTAGACGAAGTTTAGAAACTGAATTACAGTATTACTTGGCTGTACATAAAGGCCTCGATAAAAACATTTTTAGTGAAGACCATTTGTGAGGAATGCTCAGATGATTTTAAGTGAAAAGACAACGGTGTCAGTTTAGCCAAATATAGCTCTTTCAAAACCTGGCTGTCACAATTTCATTTGCTACAGTCCCTGCCAGTGGCATATTCATAGCTTTAAAGCCAGCATATGTAGTGACAATGGAGGAAAGACAAAGATAATTATAATCCATTATTGAAAGATAATTCATACTCTTTCATACAATGCAAACTTTTAACTCCTATTTACAAAAAAAAAAAAAACCCACCTTTTAGAATTCTTTCACTTAAGAGAAAGATCAGAAATTAAATAAAACCCTTCAACACTAAGTACATGAGAATCTTTGTCATATTATCTAGTTTTTCAAGAGATTCATTACCAAATTTGGATAAAATTTCTTGCTGTTCCTCTCGGGTGGAGAAAAGGATCTTGGGATTCAGTCCCTTTATATTCATATTATCCCACAGTGGCTGTTCAGAGCTAGGTCTGTCTCTGGGCTCTACCTCTACTTCCAGATTGACTTGAAACAAATCAGGGTATTTTTCTTGTATGTCACAGGCATCCAGATCATACCTGCAAAGATGTATACAAGTAGATTGTTGATACTGACAGCTAACTTGATTAAACCCATGAAGTCCAAGAAAAAACTTCAAAAGAAAAAATAGTATAAGGCTTAAAACATACTGTATTTGTTTACTTTTTCCATATAGTTTAAATGGGTGGTATTTTGGTAAAGAACTTTTTTTGTATCATGAACAAACCTTCAGTTTCCTTGGGGTAAGAAAACTGAAGAATCTTATTGCAGTCAAAGTCATCACTTTCTACACTGACTATATTCCTGCCCTGCCATATGTTGGCTTGGCAGGTCAAACAGTTAAATAAAAGCTCATCCAGTCTCCTACAGAAACATGTAGGCAGAAACATACTTGGCAAATTTCACTGTGGTGGCATTTCGGGGCACAAAACCTGTGTGGAACTGAATCTGAAACATCTTCATTGAAGCCATCTGTTGAAAACAAAAAATACAGGGAAACTATAAATACACATGAATAGTACACACAGTGTTGTGCCTTTAATATAACACAAAATACTTCCAGTATTAAAATATTTTAAACTGTTTGTTTTGCTGCTGTTTAATTCCATGTACATTTTATTGTGAGATTTAAATGCAGTTTATATAGATATATATATATCTATATACAGAATATAGATAAATCAATTACTACCATAAAGAAAGCAAAACAACTTGAAACCATATACATCTCATCACTAACCTCAACAGGCAACTGAAGTCTGTTAAATATTTCCAGACCCTGTTCTAGATGCTGAAACTGTGTGACCTTCATTACTTTTCTAAATAACATACATTCAGAAAAATATTAATCAAGAAATATATCACAGCACCTCCCATATGAAGACAGGCTGAGAAAGCTGGGGCAGTTCAGCTTGGAGAAGAGAAGGCTGTGTGGAGACCTCACAGCAGCCTTCCAGTATCTGAAGGGGGGCTATAAGGATGCTGGGGAGGGACTCTTCATTAGGGACTGTAGTGACAGGACAAGGGTAATGGGTTCAAACTTAAACAGAGGAAGCTCAGACTGGATATAAGGAAGAAATTCTTTACTGTGAGGGTACTGAGGCACTGGAATGGGTTGCCCAGGGAAGTTGTGAATGCTTCATTACTGGCAGTGTTCAAGGCCAGGTCTGACAGAGCCTTGGGTGACATGGTTTAGTGGGAGGTGTCCTTGCCCACGGCAGGGGGGTTGGAACTTGATGAACTTAAGGTCCTTTCCAACCCTAACTATTCTATGATTCTATATATAAAGGAGTCAATTTGGAACAGTTTTAACCACAGCACACTTAAAAGGACACTTCATAAGACATGCAAAGAGTTCGTGTTTGAAAACTCTCAAGTCAGCCATTCATCCCAGTCAGATAAGGCTTTTCCCAACTGATTCATTATAACCATTCAACTTCCCCAACTCTTTCTTCTGCTGACAAAAAAAGCTACTTTCTTAATGCCTAATCAGCATGCAAGAGTCCAGAAAATGCTACTGTAGAAGATTCACTTATCTCCTGGTCTTGCACAAATCCAAATTACAGCAAAATGATAAATCCACAATGTATTTGTTCCCTGTCTTTAGTACAACATGAGGAATAGTCTTGCCAGTCCTTAACAAAGCAAGTCATACAATAATAGTCTAGGAAATACAATATAATAAAACTAAACTATGGAAGCTTTCCTTGTAAATGAGCATTTACTGAACATCATAAGCAGAAGTCAAGTAACAGGCAGAGCGTTGCCAGCATGCTGAGGGAGGTGATCTTTCCCTTCTATCCAGCACTCATGAGGACACATCTCAAGTCTTGTACTGAGGAACCCAACACTGGACACAAGAGAGGCAAGGACACAGTGAAGAGAGTTTCTCTGATCCATTCATCCCTACCCTGAACTACAAATGAAAACCTGAACACCCTATTGAATCAGTTTTCTGCTATGCAAGACATTTCCTAGAAGACTAATCCTAACTAAATCTTCCCTGAACTGTGAGCAAGTTGGCAACATTCACAGTGCCCAGATCTAGGCTCTTAAGAGCAATATTGAAACGTGGTTGTTGATCTCCATGACATTTCTGCGGAGAGGTTCAAGGGGCAATTTGAAGTATGTGAAACTAAGGACACATTGAATGTTGTTCCATCAAAGCGCCAAACCAGGATCATCAAAAACACTATTGATGTATAATGTGTCATAGCATACAGATGACAAAATTCTAATCTTTTCCAATCAGTGACTAAATGGCGGAGAAACCACATGAAAGAAAACCTATTATCAGTGAAACTGAGGTTCCACCAGGAGTGTAAGCCAACTGATGAGCTTTCATCAGTTCTGTACCCTCCTCACTGATGACCTTGAAAAATGCACTATTTTTGTACATTAGAGAACCATTTCACTGAGCTTTCAGTTTTAAGGACCAGATTCTTCCAGAACATCCTAACACTCTGGGAACATTAAGGAAGTCTTGTACCTCTGCAACACAACAAAATACCTTCCTACAAAGTAGAAAAAGCATAGGGAAAACTATTCATTTCAGTAATAGCTGAAATGAATATGCTTGTTTGCGTCATGTGTATGGAAACTGTCTGAAGAACCTCTGGATCGATTTTCACAATGCCCCAGGTTAACCTAAACTTTGCACTACCCCTTCCTACCTTTTACATGGATCTCCAAGTTTAATTTGGGTTACTCATCTGGAGTAAAAAAAAAAAAACACAACAAAACAACATATACCAACATGCTTCTTTTTTAGAAACTTGAAGACAGGCTTCATTAACAAGTTTTGTGATCTTGCAATTCATTTGCATCCACAGTTGAATTAAAAAAGGAAACATGCATTCTCACTAGGAGAACAAAAACCAGTAAGAAAATCAGCTATAAAAAAATTCAACCTAGCTCTAGAAATAAGAGTGCAAAGATTAGATAGACTACAAGGAGTACAAATCCAAATGGATTTTTCTAACCTATTTATTACAGACAGTCCCTGGAATTTTACTTCTGAGCGGCGTTTTTGTTTTGGTTGCAGTTTGTATGAACGGAATTAAAAAATCATTGTTGTGCAACTTAACATATAACAAACAATGCCTCAAAAAATGGCTAGAGTCTTTCCATGCAAGTATAATAAACTATCACTACTGAAGTAATTTCCAGAAATGCTTATGAAAGCATCTACTTGCAGAGCACTAAGGACAGACATACTTATTAGGCTTGAAAAGGCTGAATTCCTAAGTAGGTTAAAACCTCACATATTTCTTCGGACAAAGAAAAGCAAATAAATCCAGGTCCTTAATGATATCATAAATACAAGTATGATATAAAACTGCAACTAGAAAAAGCAAATCCTTCACATAGGCTGTTAAAATTAATTATTACCTTGGCTTGAAGTCGGCCTCCTAGTGTTGACCTGGCATGATAGATCACAATGAGAACATCTCCCTGGACTGTTATACCTAGTGGAATTACTGCTTTCCCATCTTCAATTTTAAACTCCCTGAAGAAAAGACACAGAAACAGTTAATTTCATTTAACAAGAAAACCAGTACGTCTCACCTTATGTTTAGTTTGGTTTACCTAAGGCCCTCAATATCAACCCATAAAAATCTGCTTCAGTTAAGAATTAGCTCTAAATGATTAAAACTTAAAAGCTGCTCCAAAAATAACAACATTAACAGCTGCTTACAGCAGAGCAACAGAGAAATTTAGACCCGTAGTTCTCAAATCAAATACAGGAGAAATATCTTCAAGGATTGCTCAGAAATGCAAGAGACAGGATAGTATAAAGAAAGCTGTTACAAAGAAAGATGCAGAGAAAAACTGTAGCTGCACTAATGTGCTATGTCAGGAGCCCCACCAAGGGACAGTAGCAGAGAAAAATAAAAACACCCCACAACTGTTTCTGTTTCTGCTGTCTTCAAATTAACTAAATTCCATAAAGGGCTTGGATTTTTAGGAACCCTAGAAGAACCTTGGTATTCTCTCATCTTTCCTCTGCTTATTACTATCTACACCTAGTACTGCTAGTACCATTTGAAATTCCTGGGTTCTATTAATATAGAACCCATTTTCAGTAGCAGACTTCAGAGCTGTACAGAGACTAATGAGCACACCCCTTGCAGCTACCATGCCTGGGGGATCCTTACTGTTTCCATGATTAAGGCATGATGTTCACTCAGTACATGTACACCAGGGATCTACCTTCCTAGTTCATACAATGTGGAGTAAGAAGAAAGGTCTTGCTCACCTCTGCCTCCCAGTGCCCACTATGCCACCCATCTTCATTCAGGTGGCATCCATTCCTGCACTTTCTGCAGGAATAGGTCCATGCTATTATAACCACATTGTCTCTTCCCCATGATTTACCTTTCCATATCAGCTAAAGGGGACAGAGGAGATGTTCCATATATTAAAGAAGCTTTCTGCTCAACTGGCACACCCAAAATCATGCTTTCTTCTCACAGTAAGGCCTTCAGATTAGTCTACAAAAATGGAACACGCTGTTTCAGCACAAATTACAACTTGCACTTACTTCATTTTGTCATATTCCTGGGAGGTAGTGGTTACTCTCTCATCACCTACATAAACTTCACAAAAAGGCCTGCAACCATTACGCTGCTTACTGAAAAGAGGAACAGGAGTCATGATGATTGATCTGACCAGAATGGGCTTGCTGTGAGGAATAATGGGCTCTTCAGCCATCATATCACACATATATTCGATGTATCTGCCAAAACCAAAAGGTACTAATTTAGTCAGATAACCAAATTCTAAAATGGGTGAATTCCTGGTCAAGTTACTTTCAGTCATATCCAGCCACTGAGCACTAACAGATAACAATAAAACACTGGGAAAACTTAACAGCACTTCCAGCAAATTACGTTCAAATTTTATAGAATTTCATGAAAATTAAATAGAAACATGGAGAAATATTTATGATCCCTAGCCAGCCTCAAAGTAAGGACAGAAACAGCTTCTGTCCAAAAGCCTGCATCATAACAGACATATACTGCCCAGAAAATTGAATACAGCACTTCATACAAACTCATCTGCATGTATGTCTCACCTTCGAAACAACTCCAGATACTGCCTTAGGTCTGTAGGTTGACATATATTCACTTGTGAAACAAACTATCTACTCTTTCCAAAAGCCTTAAAATACTGAACTAGGGGAAGTATTTATTTTTCCTTACACATCAGATCAAAGTTGCACAGTTCTGAAGTTAGTAAGTCAAAGCTTCCTATAGGCTTTAAGTTTATCCTCATTAGTAGAAGCTACCTTTCAGAGCACCCAGTAAACACACTCAAAGTAAATCTGTACAACAGCATAATGTTACCTATATTTAACTTATCTTTCTAAATCTAATTCTTTATGTAGTAGTCACCCTTACAATCAGAGTTCCTACCAAGACTTCACCATTTTAACATCGATCAAATTAAAACACAGAATCAGTTTAAAGCATTGTCAAAGTGTATGAAATCCCTTCTGCATGCACTCCTTTGAAAAGCAGGAGGCATTCCTACCCAAACAGAAAAAAAGACTGGTCTTTTCACAGAGCTTGCAATGTTCTGACACAGTAAAACCTACTGTAAGTCTAGCAAATGTGGAATAAAGACAAAATCCTCTTTCACATGTGTAAGGCTTGAGATCATTCAAAAGCATCACATACTCTTGCTTTCATTCCTAACATTTCTTCACTACAGGCTATACTTGACCCACTTTTAATAAGAACATAATGGGTAACTTAAGGGCTCACAAAATTCAGAACTACTTTTGCTACTCATGATAGACCCATTTTTCCAAGTACTTAGCTATTCAAACACAGACACTATTGAAATAATATATCTTCCTAAAAAGCATCCTTTAAAAATAGTAGCATATTCACAACTGTGTAACTACTTGCTTCAATGATATCCTACAGACTGCTACCATACCTTTTATGAGAAGGCCAAATGCCAGGAGGGCAGCGCTTCATACTGAACATATAAACCGCAGCTTCAGCAGTAGTGAAGAGACGACAAAAACACAGAAAAGAACAAACTACCACAGCGGATGCTGCTCTTCCATCCTACAAAAATAAAATAAAAACAAAAAACACCAAAAAAAGTTGTAACTCCTATTAAACCTAGGAAAAAAAAATTACAGAAGTTACTGAAGAACATTCTATCTCCTTATTCAATGTAACAAAGTCCAAGGTCTAGTGTGATCATTACATTTTAAGGCTGTATTTGAATGTGAAAAGTTTTATTGATTTCCACACCATACAAAAGGTACTACGTATCTGCTTGCTTAAATGTGAATAACTGCTTTAGCTTAAAACTATTTTTGTCTTCATGTTACTATCAGTAATACACATCTTTAAGTTCGTTTCCTGAATACTACAAGAAACCCCAGTTCAGCACTGGTTTTGGTTGATAACCACGGACTTCTGCTACAGAAGAAGTCCTAAGATTCAGAAGAACTAACCCACACTAAACTCTTCAGTCTTCTGACTGTAACTGCCCAACATTAATGACTTGCCACAGACTAAGTGAAGGAAACAGGAACACTGAACTTCTTTCTGCAAGAACCATGGCTACACACATCTGAGACTACCCTTATGTTACATAAGAGACTGATGATTCAGAAGAGGTAAAGGCTGACAGAACAGGACCTCTCAAGGCGTTTTTGCTAGTTGTAAAGAACATGTTCTTTTTTGTAAATCATTTGTCATGTAAGTGTGGAGATGGGGAAGAAGAGATGGTTTTCTTCAACCATTTCTAGTATGTTTTCTTGAAAGCCAGGCTTCTATTCCAACCATTACTTAGATTAATGAAAAGAAGGTCTTCCAGACAGATATTTAAAAAGCAGTTCAGCAAGAGTATCACTACTGTAGCAAGCCCAATGATTTCCAGAAGTCACTAAACTAGTTTTTGATTCTATGGGCTGGAACCCGCTTTTCAGTTAAATGTCACACAGATGGAACACAAATATTGTCCCTACACTGAAACGTCTACACTTACGACAAAATATTAAATACGACACTGATCAGAATAACAAGCAGTGACCTATGTACACTTGCATTACAACACCACTTCCAAATTCAACCATCAGAGGGAGGGAAGAGAAATCATTATACAAAGAGGTCAGCAAGCAAGTCACAGCAAACCCTTAGCAACTATGACATGAAGTCAGCCAAAAACCTCACATGAGTTTAAAGACTACCTTACAACCAGAAATGCAGGATTCAAAAAAAATCTCTCACACATTGGTAAACAAAACTGACGACAGAACCTTGCACTTCAGAAAGAAGCTTGATAAGTTGCAGAATGGGGGAAAAAGAAACACTCCCGGAGACAAGACAGTAAGAATTTACATTTTTCCCCACATGTTTTTACAAGGATGATGGATATTGGCTACAAAATCAAACAATCTTCAGGCACGAACAGTCCTTAAGGCAGAAAAAAAAAAAAACAATTATCAGAAAAATCTAGATTTTTGAGCATAAGTTTTGACCCAAAGCCTCAAAAAGCTAGAGGAGTTTTGTGTGTAAACTATTTTGAAAAGGAATAACCTTTAAAAAATAAAGTACCTTTCACAGTGTGTATATAATTATCTTAACTTGGTTCATTTAAACACAGGTCAAACAGTTACCTGAAGCACACTTAAAAGAGCTGCAGCATACTCAGTTGCAAGTCTTGGCCGTTAAGTTCCACTAAGATAATCTTGTACTCACACCTTCTTAAAGCTGGGCAAATTTTCAAGGATTTCCACCACTGCATGGCCCCAGATAATTACATAGAGCAAAGTTTTACTACAGATGTCCAAGAGTTACTCCAGTCTCTGCCATATGTGCTACAGTCTTGTGATATCAGTAGAACACAATGCCAGTTAAAACTGCCAGTCCAGAAAGACTTAACTGTAGCTGCAGTTGTTTTCAACTGCTTGTTTTCAACTGGATCACTCAAATTACAATGAAGTATCTAAACTCACTGTGCTACTGCAAACCTCTACAGGAGTGATTAAGAGATGAGGAAGCTCTACCTGATTCTGAATCAACAGTAGCTAGAAATGCAGTGTACACCCACCTGTCATTCATAAAGCATGAACAAAAAAGCAGAAGACTGAAATAACAGAGCTGATTCTCCCAAAGCCTACTTTGCTTTAGTCCCACCTATATAGTGCCTTCCATGCTACATGCAAGTAAGCATATAGCATGGAAGAAAATTTATTTAGTAAGCATGTAGCAAGGAGAAAATTTATGCAAACACCTTTCCTAAAAACACAGTAGGATGGAATCAAACCCAGGTGTCACAGTAAAGATAGCCAATAAAACTCACAAAATGAGTAGATACTAGTATCCTTATTCAAAATTTAAAGTATTGAGCAAAACATTTCAGACTTAAATCAATTTCTTACAAGGCAGTGCACAATGCAAACATTTTTCTGGTCTTGTTTCAGCCATAAATGCATGTTCTTGCATATGCTATAGAGATTCTGAAGATTTGGTGCTCGTCTTGCTGGCCAGCCACATTCAGAAACCTGCAGCAAGAGAGAAACAGAGGTGAGAGATTAGATCACGCAGTCACAAACATTTACATAGGATAAGCTGTGGGTATAAGAGGCGATTTTATAATTTAATGCCACCTTCAGGTAGAAATTAAGCAAGACATGCAAGAAAAGTAGTCTCACACTTTGTAGAACAAAGTGCAATATAATTCCAGTCCTGTCTATAATGTCCTGCACTAGGAGTATTAAGAACTCAGATTTCTTGTTCCAAAAAAAATTTCAGATAAAGATCTTTCAACATGTGTTAACATACTCTTAAGCAAAAAAGAAAACCAGAAAGACTTTGTTTGCCTTTACATTTGTCCTTTATTCAAAGGGCCTCAACAGTTAATATTCCTTCTGCAATTAGTACTACAAAACATTATCAAATAATCATCTTTACTACTGAGAGTCTATATTCTTAAAATCATAGTCCAGTAAGAATGCAGTATATGAGGGTTACTCTGAGATTAATTACCTGAATCAATTATCACAAAAGATTCTCATCTGGATTATTTTTGTGCCAAGCTGACAAAAAAAAGACTGAAAGAAAGTCTGACCTACAAAGTCCCCTACAGTTTCACTGTATTCTAGTATTTTAATTTAGAAAAAAAAATGCTTAAGTTGAGCATTCTTTTGTCAGTGAAAGCTTAAGCAAAGTCATCACTAAATAAATAAAAGCTAAGGCTTTTATTTATTTTATTCTTATATTCCAGTTCCCTACAGGATTCAATGTGGGCTTCAGTACATCTCAAATATTACAACAGCAGTGAAAATCATATTGCAGCATTGCAGCTACAATCCAGCAAACAGTCTAGAAAAGCAGGTGTATCCAAAAAAGAAAAAAAAAAACTGACTTTTTCTGATTTACCCTTCACCTTCCACTCAAATGCTACTTTTGTTAAAAGATGTGTACCATACAACACTACCTCTATAAACAACCTGTTCCAAGCAGGACTCAAAACTAGCAAAGATGACTTCAAAACTACCATTAGTTTAGGTTACAGAAATCTGTAAAAGTTACATACAGATAACATACAGCAAGAAAACATAGTTTCATAAATACCCACTAAAAAAAAAGTATCAGAGTTAAGAAGATCAGAAGCTGGTCTCCTCTGATAAAGTTTAAGTCTTGCCATAATCATCTTTTGCAGGCACTAGAGAAAAACTAAGCTTCCTTAGCTTCCTACACGGCTGCTGTCACTCAGCACTGATAATGAATTCAGGTCAGTATTGTTCACTGTGCACCTGAATTAAATAGATTGATAGCAAAAATTTCCCCAATACATTTAAAGACTGGTTTTCAAGTAAAATAGCTGCTTTTGTCTTCCATTTAAAAAAAAACGGTTTTGTAGGAATTCACTAAATACTCCTAGCCAATAAAGCAGACAGGAACTTATAATGTTTTGACAAGTTATGAACTACTATTACTTCCCAGCAAAATAAAGATCAAAGACAAAATTAATGACAAATACAGACCAGAACAGTCCAAGACCACTGGTTGATTTAGCTTTGCTCCTATTAACCACTCACAGTCCCAATACATCAGGAATATCAGTGTACAGGCACCTCAGACTTGCACTGCATAACCAAAAAGTTATCCCTAGGGTAAATGATCTCCCAGTTACAGAATTTATCATTCCATAAACAGAGATCGATACCTTTGTATGATGAGGAATAAATCAGTTCACTGTCAGCCTTGGTAGACTTTCCAGTAATCTAGAGCTAAAAAGTACCGCTGAAGCTTATGTTTTGAGGTACCTGCTCCAAATGAATTATACAGGAGGTTTACAAGGAAAAACAAAGGAATAAGAAGGAATGACAAGCACTAGAGAGAATACATTAAACATACCTCAGCCTGACAGTTTAAGTGAACTTGGATAACCTAAGTAATGCTAAGGATTACTCTGCAGGATAAGACCCAAAAGGGGTTCCCTGTGATAAATAATGTTTCTAGACTCTCCTCTGGGGAGTCAGTATTTGCAGGGAAGGGTTATGATCACTACAGAGTATTTAAGGTGAGGTTTAATGTGTCCAGGTCTAGACAATTCACAACACAGTCTCCACTGTTGAGCTACTTACAAGTCAATTGAGGTGTACTTCGGAACAGACTCTGTCAGCACCTAACAGGTGGTCCTCACTACCCTGTTACTGAATTAGGCAGAGGTCTTCATTTTAGTATCAGAGAAATAGCCAGAAAGGCTTATGGAGGCTCAGCTAAGCTATACCAATATTTCAAGAAGTAGCAACAAGCAGTCAGATAGGGCTGAGCCATATGGGAGTCAAATGGTATGCAGAAAGAAACTGAGAAAGCCCAGTAAACACGTTCTGTATATCAGTCAAAGGAGTACCACTTTTGATAAAGGGAAACCTCTGGATTTAGAGGAGACTGACATTTTAGTAACATTTTCAGTTAAGTATTCTCCATTTAGGCCTGAAAAATTTCATGTTCTCAAAGATATTACTAGCCTAGGAAACATAGACTTTAGTCAGTAAGGTTAAAGATCAGTCTTTAATCAGTTAAGTTTAGACTGAAAGCAAAGGCAAGCAGATACAGATTATTCTTTACCTCATGTTTATACCTAATTCTTTTGTCATCTTTTTGATTATATAGGCTACTTTAACATATTTCACAATAAAAAACTGAATGCATAACCGAGACATTGTGTTGAAAAACCTTTTCCAGAAAAAAACAGTAACTATACAAACCCTATTATGGAACCTGGAAGGACGGTACGTTCTTGGAGAGAGATTGTACACAGCATAGTGGCCAGGATGTTTAGAGTCTAGACATAACCGCACATCTTCTATGTTATTTTTGATGGCAGATTCTACACCTTCAGCTGGAAAGGACATCACTGAAGACAGAACAACAAACACCAGATGAAGTACTCACTTTTTTCACACATTAAGAGCAACCAAATTATTCTTAAGACACACACAGTCATCATACCAGCAATTCTGGAAGTGATGTAAGATATATCCAAGTCTCCTTTTGCATAACTGAAACAGAACAAATTGAAGTTAACACCAGGAAATAATCCATTCAAGATGAAAGTCCAAGCCCCAGGTCTCTCAGGCTACACCCCCTTCCCACAAATGCTTCACTACTTTCATCTGAAGCTTGCTACCTCACACTTCAAGGCTTCCAAAACAGACATGTATTTGAACAGTTACTCATTTACATCAATTGCAACAAAACCACCTCTGGGGATTTTGTACAGATGCCTTCAATGCTTAACTCATTCCTCTTACTGATAAACATTCACTGTAGGTAACAGTATGAAAGTCCAATGAGGATGCATTAGCATCTTTAACAGAGTAAAACATTATCTTAAAACAAGGATTATTTGTTGAAACTTTACATGTTAAATTACGTAACTCTGGCGTGTTACTATCTGGCTCAGATGGCCATGCTGCCCATTTTCTGGATTTCATATGAACAGAGGATACCTGAATATCTGATCCTCATTTAACTCATTCCTCAAAAAATTCATTTCCAAAACTCCCACAGTGAGCAAGGCTTTGATCATTACTTAACTTTCTCATATAGTTGTGCACAGTTTTAAAGGGCAGCCTTTTTCACTCTCCCAGTGATTTTTTTTATATTTAGGTCCATTCCTTCCATTGTTACCTCATTCACATTATGCCAATAATTTATTAAGACCACAATAATGTTTGTTTATAGGGTATCCGCTATGTAGTAGGACAAAAAAAAGCTTGAGAAAAAGAATGAAGAGCCCCAGTGCAGGCCAATATTCTTAAGTACAATCACATAGACTCTTTGGCATAATCACAGAGGTCTGCACTCCTGATTGGCAAAGTAAAAACAAACCTCACCTACAGAATTTGGTTTAGACATCCCTATAATGCATGTTTAAGGAATGCAGAGGCACTAGCAAAGCACAACTTCTATAGCACTATGAAGTTTCAAGACACCGCTTGAAAGAGCAGACCTAAATACTGCACTCAAATTTTGAAACATATGCTTTGATTCCTTACTGCTTCCTACTAAAACTGAAGGAGGCTGGAGGGATTCAGTAAAAGATTATTGAATTTACAAGGATTGGGAGGATAATTTTAGATAAAGCAAGAACAATTGTTTTGAAAAACACATTAAACAGTATTTACTTAGAACGGCATAATCAGTGTCCTATCAACCAGTGACAACCCAAGGCCTCAAGGGAATTGAAATCACAAAAAAAAAAAGCAACCTTGGAAAATCTTGTATAAGGACGTAGACAAAATGGCCGAGTAACAACTATTTCAAAATTCTTCATCTTTGAAAGTACGTAACTTAATTATGTAGCTCAAGTGTAATGTTGTGGTAAACAAACTAATTAAGGCAGAAATTTACATTCACAGCTAATCAAGATTTCTTACTAAAATTAGTGATGAGCATAGTCCTTCATAAGACTGCAAAGTGTCAACCATTACTTGCTGCCTACACCCACCAGCTTCAAGCAAGAAAACATGCAGATGATTCTAACTATATCAACTATTTTTGATATAAAGAACCATCTAATACAATAGCCTGAGAACAAAGAACCATTATAACCTCAGTGTTACAGCACTGAAGATACGCAGCAACTAGAAGCAGAAGCACAGAATTAGTAAGAGCAAAAATCAACAATCCTCACACATTCCTTTGGGAACACATTCACATACTGACTTCTTACTAGCAACACCATTAAATTCAGACTTGCTTTTTACATTTATCCAAATTAAAATTATTAAGACCTTGGATCTCACCATACACACACTGCTGAAAAAGTAAAGCTTGGTATGTCTACATCAGAGCACAGCCAATTCAAGCTTGCTGTTTTGCAGAAAAAAATGTATGCCTGTAACAACTGGAAAAGCATCAGAATGCATAATTAAAATGTAGCTGCTAAACTGCAAAATCAGCAAAAGTCTCCTAAAACATGTGACCCCGTCCATAAATTACTATTCCTTGAACTTTACTTCAAAGCTATTTTAGTAAAAAGCTTGAACATCAGCTAAGCTACACTGGTTTTAGAGAAGTGTTTCATGTCAGACTGGTAACAGAGATTGCTTTAAGCAGCAGGAAGTTTAAAAAAAAAACAAAACAAAACAAAACCAACTGTGTTTATCAGTGTGTAACTGGTAAGCATTCCTACTTATTCAGTTACAACATTCCTGTAACTATAAATTAGAATAAGGTCTTTCGTTGACAGCAGAAATTTTATTTACTTAGTGATGTTGTTGGCAGGTGATAAGGGTAGAAGAACACAGAAACAAACCAAAAGACTGCATGGAGTATTTCTGGCTTGTAATCTATATGGAAAACAGTGTGCTTTTTAAAGCTCTAATTAACTCAAACACGAAAGTATTTTAGGATACCAATATTTAGTCACTTTTGTGATGATACCAGGTAACTTCATGGTATTCAGTGAGAAGTCCAGTGGGAAAACTAGCAAAGAAGATATGCTCATTTTTCAGACCAAATACCTTAACAAAATCAGAAGTTTTAATTAGATGTTGAAAACTTTTCACTGTGTTAATGGTTGGCATTATCAATCTTGCCAGAGAACAGCTGCACTAAATACCATAACTAATATTAAATAAAATCATTCCAGCAAATCAAATTAAAAATTCAATTAAAAGTAACAATTCACAAAATCAACTAGTTAGCATAAAGCACAAAATTCTACAATACTGCATCGTTACCTTGTGTTACTAACAGCGGAAGATGGGAAAGAATAAAGAATGACAGACGAAGCAGCAAAGCTACAGTGTAAGCACACAAACCACCTTAACTTAAATAATGCTCTAACACTAAGCAATCTTCCTCCAGATATCTCTACACTCACAAGATTAGAAAAATATCTATTCATTAGCTAAAAACCACAATTCTGCAGTTTAATTTTTAAAAGCCGGGAAGAAATACAGCACTGAAATCCACATCAACCCACTCCCAATTGGTTTTACTTCATAAAATTGAATTAATCATTCAACTACCTAAAGCAACACAAAGATCCATGAAATAAAGCATTAATGCAGCATCAAACCAGAAGCAAAATTACCTTAGAAGCAACAAAAGCTAGCAACAGAAGGCAGCCAATTGTTCCCTCGAGTGTTAGATCATCATCTCTTCAATGAAAGACACTGTTCCGACAAAGCAAAACAAGACTGATCCTAACTTTTGCATGCTGCTTTTCAACACCTGTGGAGACTGGATATTTAAAACATTTTGGTATGCTTTTTTGGCAGGGCATTTGTAACCTCTGTGGATGCAGACCTCAATAAGCATAAAAGCTGGTCATAGCAGCATCATAAACAAGATGAACAGAAGAGAGCTATGTTGAGGCCACATGGCTGCAGGCTGAGATATCAGGCACAAACAGGTACATCTACTGGAACAAACTTCCCTTTTACACAGATGCTACTCTGTCATATCAGGCCCCTTCACAGAGCAGTTCGTATTGGCTCTATGTGTGTATACACCCAGTACTTCCTTTTAAGTCAGTTTTTATCAAGAGAGGGCTAAACCTCTGTTGCTCTGCACTCTTACATAGCTATAAACTGTTTCTGCCTAAACTAAATCTGTAACAAGAACTGCAACACCTGCAAGTGAGGTGGCTTGGGGGACAATCAAGATGGCCCTCATTCAATCTCCTGTTCCTAGAAGCCTGTGACATACCAGTTTTCAGGCTTTATCACTTATTAGTGTAAAACAAGACCAAAATTTGAATCAAGATAAGGCAGCCATGGGAGAGGAAAAAAACACAACAAAAAAAAAAAACAAACAAAACCCCAAACATTTTCTGTAGCAGCTACACAACACTAACTACATTTGTGGTTTGCATTCAGTTAGAAAGAAGCCAGTCTGCATAAAAATGAAGTAACTCGACATTCAGAAAGCAATGATAAGCAAGGAGAGCGCCTACCTGATGAAACGACAGACTCCAACACATGGAGTCCTTAAGTGTGGTGAGGAAAATGCACAGGGAAGAGACATTTTAGTTTGTCCAGAATGTCTGTGTCTCATGCTGGTTGAAGAGTTTTGGAAAGGCAGTCAAGGATGCAACTGCAGAAGAGGCACTCACATCCCTGATGGTACTGGCTGTAGCCACAAGTTTGTGAAGGCAGAGAATGATCATGACAGACAGATATGTTCTATAGTAGATGCAAACGAAGAATTAACACTTCGGCTTGGTTAAAGCACAAATAGCTTAAGAATGTACAAGCCCAGTGGTGGGACTCTCAACAGCACAGTGAAAGCTAAAGAACCTGGGACTACCTTAGGTCCTACATAACATTAAGTATTGCTCATGTTAATTCCATGCCCTGCCATTTCAGTGAAGTGTCAAACAGAGTTAAGATTCAAAATACACAAAAGCCTTATATGAAGGAATGAAAATTAAAGAACTTTTTTTTTTCCTTCACTAATAGTAAGTTCCACAAAGACCTGCACTAACATACCTTCAATAGCACTCACATTCCTAACAGATGCTCAAACACTACCAAAATGTAAATAATCATGCGAAGTATGGTTTGAAGCAGTTTAGAAGATTCCAACAGTTCCAAATGTCCCACACAAATTTAAGGTATAAACAATACTGCCATGGGGGTCTCTGCAGGAATCAAGAGCCTCAAGTTTCACCTCTATCACGCTTTCCCATTTTTGTCAAAAAAGGGATTCTAACTAAAGTGCCAAGCACATAGTTCAGCCACAGAACACTAATCAGCAATTCAGAGTTGCACAGAACTCTAGAATTAGGAGATGCAGAACTTTGGCCAGTTCCCATAATTTGAACAAGGAACAGTAATGAAGAGCATGTGAAATGAACAGCATCTTTTCAGACAGCAAGTAATCAATGTCCTATACTTCAGAAGCTATCAGATGACCTCTGTAAATGCAGCTGGATGTACAGTTACTACCTCATTCCTCACACACTACACTTACTATGCAATCAAAGGAAATCACACAAAGCAAAAAGCAACACACACCTGTTAAGTAAGAGATAAAAATAAGTTTCAGGCAAAGAATAAGCCATTCTATATAAAATATTCTATTTTAGATAGTGCTAATCCACTACTAGAAAAGGGGAAAATGGCACAAAAAAGAAATTCAAAAAAGTAATTAAAACTTCCAGTGGCCTTTAAGGAAGATGCCATTTGCAGGAGCAAGAAAAGGAAACTTCTTCAAACATAATTCACTGTTGGAGGCAACAATCCATAAAGTCATGTGGAAACAAGAACACAAGGAAGTGGAAATGCAAGAGTGCTTCAGAAGCATGTAGTGTACAATCAAAACACAGTATCAGAATAAGATCTAATACAGGAACACAGGCATGGGAAAATAAGGCTTATAACACTGTCAGAGGTAAAGAAGAATTTAAGTGTTATATACCACAAAGGAAGAAAAGCAATTTCTCTGCTGTGGAACTTAATCTAAGCAAAACTGGCATGATTCAAGACAAGGAATTAACTACCTTAAAGTTTATAAGTAGTAGAGCCATCAAAGGCAAAGAATCTGCAGAACATTTCATGTTTTACTGACAAAGTACGTTTCATTTAACAAGATACCACAAAAGGAACAGAAGTAGGACTGAACAGGAAGGGAGATCAGTTCCACAGACGGTAGCAGGTACAAGGAGGTAAAGAACAGAGGCTGCAAGACAGCACATGCCAAACAAATAAAATGCAGAGCAGTTGCTTAAAAGTTGTAGCTGATCATCTTATTTCATACATGGAATTCCTACAGTTCTGCTGAGCTGCTAACAAGTCACCACTTTTCATCATGCAACAGCTCATTCCCCTTGTACTTCCCCTGTCTTCTCTTGAGTCATCATAGTTTCCCCAGATTGCAAAGTCTGATGCTACAGCTTCTGCAGAAAGCTTAAGGACAAACCAAAGCTGAACAGCTTTTGTGACTTTTACAAAACAGAGGACATGATCTTTCTAACCCACACACGGCAAGTTTAAACAGTCCAAGTGTAAGAGCAAACAGCTAAAAATGCACTTGAACTGGCTACAGAGGTGCACCATCTACAGACCTAACTTACCCGATTATTAGAAACATTTTAGAATGCATTATGCATAAGTTATTCTCAGTGGCAGAAAAACGTGGCAAGCAATAGACTTCACAGTGCCACAGCACAGTATCCCAATTACAGGGCCACAGACTGTACAGTGAGGGACAAGGTGCAATATTCTTTAGGAAGCTCTAGTTCAGCCATGGTATTCAGTAGTGACATACCTGTTCTTTTTAGGATTAAGAAAAAACTTTTACACCGCATAAAGTATTACAAATGAAAAATGGAGGAATAACAGAATAATATTTATCACACAGAGGTACTAGAAACATTTGGAATAGGATTGAAAATCTGATTAGGAAAAAATAATCACATACGAGATACCTGAAAACATATACATCAAAACAGTGAGAGTCTTTTTCCATGCAATATAGGGCAAAGGAGACAAACTGCAGATTCTCTCACTTTGCTTTAGAGGGCATAGGACTCCACCTGCAAACTAAACTGGACAGAACTCATACACTGTTTCCCTGCAGTTTTAATTCCTGCCCCCATTTCCTTTATTTGTACTTTTCACCACCTTTTTTTCTCCCTCTCTTATACATAATTCACTGAATTCATTCTGAACCATGATAGTCCATACCTCTCCACCCTGCTCAGCCCCCACTTGTTCATCTCTTCCAAGCCTTAGTAACTAAAATGCAGCAGAGAAAGCAGTAATTCTGGAAAGGCTTTTGCCCCCAGCATTCTCATTTCTAGTATATAATTGCTGAAGAAACTCTGGTATTTATATCATTCATAAAATCTCAGAGCCAGCTATCAGCTCTTAGAGCTCATACTTAGAAAATGATACTGAATTTGATCATTTCTGGAGTAAGCTCCCAATCCTTCATTTAGAACTCTTACCATCACAATTTAAGTTTGGTCGTTTAGGGTTTTTTACTCACTTGGCCACAGACTGGATAACTTTAGAAGATGTATCCTTAATATTAGTGAAAAATCGCTCTGTTCCACCCCTCAGAATATCAAAGAACCCTCCATAAGTCTGGTCACATTCCGCAACAGTCAGGCCTAGAGTAGTTGAATAAAAATAATTGTACTTTAAGTCATATCCTGGAATGGGCTCCATACTAAAGCAAGTTGCCAATAAATCTGGGAGTGAATGCAGATACAGGCTACACCCTGTTGAAAGGCTCAAGAGTTCTAAAATTCTGCTTAACTATGACTTACGCAAAACATAGTACTTCCTGAAGTCAGGAGGTTTAGCAAACTACTTAACACATTATAATTGATTGCTGCATTTAAGACAAAAAAAGGTAAAAAAATTCTGAAAGTAAAGCATTTATTTTATATTGGCAGTGCAGCAAACTACTGTTGTTTTTTTTTTAATATCAATCAAAGTGTAGCTTATCATTAGCAAATCTACTTAAGCACCCCCAGCAGACACATTTTAATGCAGGGCTTCAAAAGCAGCTGTCATAATTCAGTTACTTTTCAAGCACAACATCCCTATTAATGTGATTGTATACAGCAAACAGTACTCATTCTTGCACAAAACAGATGGCCAGACAGCCTTTCGATCATAATCCTATTAGGAAGCTGGATTCTTCCACAGAAATTGATAGATAGGTAACATCACCACAATAATAAATATTACCCAATTTTAGAAGTTTCCCTGGAACATTAATATCCTTTGTCTCACTCACAATTCAGTATATCAAGCAAGAAGTATCAACCTAGAAGGAAAACTGAACACACTACAAAATAATCATAGAATCATAGAACAGTTAGGGTTGGAAAGGACCTTCAGATAATCAAGTTCCAAACCCCCTGCCATGGGCAGGGACACCTCACACTAAATCCTTTGATATCTTCTACATTAATTGAAGTGTTCCATATCCACATATGATATATATGATGGGTACAGAAACTGCTTTTTAATAAGATATTAGATGCAAATAATATAGTAATGAGAATTTGGTAGGCTTAAGTGCAATTAGTTTTTGCTGAATGAACTCTGGAGTATCTGTTCTCACAGAATGCATATGTCAGCTGTTAATCGTGTCGCTGTGGAAACATGTTTTGGTTGACTATTTAGTATTGCTAGTGCAACTATTATTTTTCCTCAGATGAAACCACAACTTCTTCTCACCTTTGATGTCCTATGGTGCAACCACCTCCTGAAGGCCTACCTGCACAATACTCCCTTAATTAGCTGCAGTCAAGGCAGTACCAGCTATTTCTGAAACTACTGACTAGATATCAAATAAACTGAATTTAAGATACTGCTTTTTACTTTTGAGGCTGTCAGACATTAGTTTTTTGGAAGTGAAAATACTGAAGAGCTTTAGACTATGATCACTGTCAGATACACTTCAAACTATCACAGGGGAATCAAAAGCCTCTTGGGGAAGAAAGCAAGAGGGAGAGAAGGACCCCAGATACTTACAGAAGTATTTAGTCCTCAGACATGCTTTTTGCAGGCTAAAATAAATACATGTCAGGTCAGTGACTCCTTAACATTAATGAACTACTGTGGTCCATAGTCAAATCCCTGCAATTGCTTCTGCAGCTCTTTACTGGACTTTCTGAAGTTAAACACCAAGCCCATTTTAGCACAATTATACCAAAAGCCACAGAACAGATGCTGTATTTTTAAGTTGTAACTGATGTTAAGTAGTTCTTAGAAAGCAAAGACAGCTGTCCCTTTCTTACCCCAATGATCCAATATTGTATACAAACAGTATGTACTGGTTTCAGTTACTTCTGTTAAAGTAACACATTTTCAGTTAAAATACAGCATCTCTGAAAGATTTTTAACAGTCTGAACTTAAACTCATCTTAAATTCTCCACTTTACAGAAGACACTTTAAAATATCATTGCCTCACTGAATTGAGAAGTTTGGACTTCAAAAATAACCCACTTTTACATGGTTTTATCACCTAAAGTCTACTTTCTCCACTGCTCTTGTTCTAGAGAATATTGCCACTTATTGTATCTGCACTTTCACCAAGTTTTAGTTGACTTGTCTCACATCCACACATCAATAATGTATTTTAGTTTCAATTACTTTATATAGAAAACCAAATTTTATCTTGCCCAGCAACAAATAGCAGAAATTCAAATTTTACATGCATCAACATAAAACCAAACCCTGACAAATATAAAACAAAGTTAGAAACAGCAATATAAATGCAAAATAGCATTTTTGCTATCTTGTGCAAGATGTCTAAAACCGTCAAAAGATTTCCCCCCTATCCCCAGAAGTTATGCAATTGGTTTTATACTAAGACGTTGTCTTCTTCTGCACTTACCTGCATTGTACATATTGTTGAGCTGTCCTGCAGGCTTGGAACTCTGTGAAACGGAGGTCACAGATGTCCGAGGCTGAGCATTGTTTCCATAGCCTCCATTTTGTTCCAGGAGCTGAGAAGATTAATAGTTACTATGACTACTTTCTTGTCAATTTAGCCAGCTTATTAGGCTTTGAAATCACTTTTACATGGTGAGAACAAGCAAGCTGAACCTCAGGAAAAAGCCATGAAGTTAAGATAATCTAATCGATTCACATGCAGTTTTGTGAGAATTAAGCATTGAACAGAGGATACTTCAGTTTGTTTCGAGTTAGTGTAGGCAAAGCCTTCATATGCTAGATTTTTCTATGCTATTATGATTAAGTGCAGCATGTTAAACAGAGCACTTGAATACTAAAGAATGACCCAAGAACATGAGAAGTTTTTCAACAAATAGTAACTACAACTAGTTTCCTTGCATGTCACGTAAGCTCTGTGCCTTAAAAGGCACCTTTTCAAAAGTTTTCAAATCTTAGAAGTCCTGCAGATCAATTCAACTGAACTTCAAAACAAATTGGTGTGAAATTTTCAAAAGACTTAAGGAACAGGGCACCTACTGACATCTGTTACTAAACACACTTACTGGACAGAAGAGGAGATAAAGGAGACCTAATCAGTAATACCCTTTATGAGATATCTTTACCTCTGTGATAGGCGATTTAGGATTCACATTCCTAGCTGCTGCTATCTCCTGCAGTTGATTCACAAGTTCAGTGATTGATAGTCTCTCCTCAGGGTTCACCTTCAAAGCAGAACCTAAAAAAGAGATTCAATGTAACAGAAATCCTTCAGAGCTTTTCTCCCAGCATATATTAATTTCTTCAGGGCACTCCAGTGCACTAAGTAATTCAAGATGTTAACAGAGTAAAGCAATTGCTAAATCCGTAACCAGATATAATTGTCATAACGGGTATCCATCAAAAAAAAATTTTTGGTTATTTCAAAGAATATACTTTAGGATCAGTTGATGATTAACATCAGAAGTAACTTAAATCCTGTTAGAGCTGGAGACATATTTATATTCAAGTTTCTAGTAATCTATTGAAAACTTAATGAAAACAATTTCTAACAAAAATTCAAAGAAACTAAATCAAAACACTAGTTGTTCCTATGGCCTAATTCAGATCCTAAGCAAGACAGGCAACAAAACTAAAAAAACCACAAGTTTTAAATTTCATTTACAATTTTATTTTTTTTTTATAATGGATTGGAATTTTTAACAAACCAAGAAGTTGTTTAAGTTAAGCTTTTCATCATCCCATGTCAACATGTTAAACAACAGTCATTAATAAAATGTATCCATGAAGACACTAAATTAAGTAACACTGTAAACTTACGAATAAGATCATGAAACACAGAATAGCGGGTGTCATTTTGAGGTATCACGTATTTTCCATTGACTATACGAAGTTTAGCTCCATCTTCAAATGGATGTTGCCTAAAGCACAGCAAGTACAGGATACAGCCCAGAGCCTAGACAGAGTTAAACAGAAATATTTCACAGAATCATGCAATCATTTATGCTGGAAAAAAAACACTTTAGATCACAGAGTCCAACCATTAACCTAACACTGCCAAGTCCACCACTAAACCATGTCCCTAAGCACTTTAAACACCTCCTGGGATGGTGGCTTAACCACTGCCCCGGACTGCCTTTTCCAATGCTGGAAAACCCTTCTGGGGAAGTAAGATGTCTTAACCTCTAATCTAAACTCCCTGGTGCAACTTCAAGCACTTCTTCTTGTCCTATAGCTTGCTACTTACTTGGGAGACAATACCAACACCTACCTTGCTACAATCTCCTACTCCTGGCTACGCAACTGCAGCTCCCTCAGCTGCTCCACCAGAAGACTTGTGCTCCAGACCCTTCACCAACTTCGCTGCTCTTCTCTGGACCCATTCCAGCACCTCAATGTCTCTCTTGCAGTGAGGGGCCCAGAACTGAACACAGGATTCAAGGTGCACCCTCACCAGTGCCCAGTACAGGGGGATGATCACTGCCCTGGTCGGGCCAGCCACACTATAGCTGATACAGGCCTTCCTATACTCCAGCAGATCAACACTTCCCCCCAGCTTAGTATCACCTGCAAACCAAGCATGTAATCAATCTCCTCATCCAGCTAACTGACAAAGATACTAACCAGAACTGGCCCCAGTACTGAGCCCTGGGGAACACAACTTGTGACCAGCCACCAACTGGATTTAACTCCACTCACCACCACTTTTGAAGCTTGGCCACCCAGTTTTTTTACCCAGCAAACAGTGTGAAGATGTCGTGGTGGTGCTGCAGCAAGCAGAATGCTCGCAGGGGCAGCTGGTGATACTGCCAGCCCTGGATGGTATAACAAGGGCAGTATGAGCCCACACTGGCAGATGAGCTGCCAGATAAGCAAGGACAGGAAAAGGCGGGCACAGAGACAGGGCCTGCCTGCAGTAATGGATGGTGGCTACTTTGAACTATAGCTGGACATCCAAGACAGGGAAACCACCAGACCACAACATGCTGCAGTGCTGCAGTCCTCTGCCACCAAGCTGGAGAGTTGCCAACAGTCTGCAGAACAGGTAACACCAGCTCTTACCCCATGGTAGTCTACAAGGAGCTGGAAGTTCCCCAAGGACATGGGGCAAAGGGAGCTCTGTTTTCAAGGGGTACCGTGGGACTGAACTCCTGCCACTAGCCCCAGTGAAGCAGTGGCCACCTAAGTGGGCAGAATGCCTGTAGTAACCAGCATTATTGTCCCACATGGGTGTCTCCCAGCAATCCGGGAGGCACAGAATGGAAAACCTTGGTGTAAGCCCCAGGCAGGGCTGCCCATATTAACAGAGGGTGGCTACTACAGTTGTTGGTTCTCTTGCCTTCAGCAGCTGTAGCCTGGACTGGGGCATGAGCCCACTTCCGCCCTCTTCCTCCTCCACCACTCAAAGGAGTGTTGGTACTTTATACAAGGATATTGACCCAATGATAAAGAAACACCTTATCCTTAACCTCTATACCTTATCTTGCATCTTATGAGTTAGCACCACAGTCCTAGAGAAAACTAAAAGGTTCTCACAGCCATGAACAAAATGAGGTCTGCAATATCCACCTTCTTTACATAAAGCTTGTCTTAGAATGAGAAGAGTTTATAAACTCAAGTTTTCTGATTCATGACCCAATTGGCTGGCTGTTCTTGTTTGTGCAGTTTTTAATTCAAGCAGTAATATTTAAAGCAAAATTTTAGACAAATTGATTAAGCTTCCTAATGCTACCTACAAATTTCAGGTTTCAATCACCAACTGCTGATTTATGCAACTCTATATTTTCCCAGAGCTTTAGAGATCAGCTTCACACTTCTTTAGAAATTTAGAACTCCTTTCAGCTTCACATTTTTGATGTTTTTCTGAAGATAGAACACTTAGTGAAACATTCATTTGTTTGGTATGTCAATTAGAGAACTCCAAGAAGCAGTTCTGTTGCTACATAGGTTTGTGGTGGTTTTCCCATTTATGGAATTTTTCAGGTTCAGGGATTCTTTTATTCCTATCTTTTTAAAAATAATTATAATAAATCCATTTTATGAATTTCACAGTATACAAAAATGAGTAGTCCTGCAACACCAAACATGTTCAAGAACAGAGATTTTTCTTTTAAAGAGGCTCTGGCATTTTCATACCTTCATCATGCATTTTAAGGAGACTCACTTTATTTGTGGAGACAGAATTCAGTCTTTTGTATTTCTAACTCATTATGCAATGCACCTGCTATGTAAGCATTTAAATGTTAATCAGTTAAAATGATATTGTGGGGACAGATAGTCTCTGAAACACTTGTTCTGGTAAAGATTTTAAGAAAATAAGCCTGAAATGACAGCCCCTTTACTACCTGCAATCAGAAGGCTACTCAAAGCTTAAACCAAATAATGTTTAAGAACATTTTCAGGTTCATTCAAGTCTCATAAATCACAAAACCAGGACTACCAATGCTGGCAACTTTCAAATATGCTGGTATATCCAAATGTGACACATGTACATCCCGACAACCAACCACCCAGAAGTCAGTTTCCAGTTCTAATCTTAGAATAGTCTGGGTATTATGGTTTAGTTAGGATAATCTCATCTCTTTCCCAAGAAAATGTAAACTGATATATATTCTATGTTTTCATACAAGTTAACAGATTAAATATGGCAGTTATACAGTAATAACAGTAATTACACAGTAATAACACAGAAAACTGTGTTCCATCTGGCCTATAAGAGTTTTACTATAAAGCATCCAATGCCTCCACCAAATGTTTACACAAAGGACTGGAAAACTCCTCAAAGTTCTTCTGAACCCCAGCTCAGTTACTTCAGCATATGGACTCTTACAGCCCCCACAGACAAGACAAGCTAGTGAATAACATTAGCTAAGAAATCTGCTCACTGCCTCCAGTCCTCTGCATGCACAACCTCCAACTCTCCTTCACCGCCAGTTTATCCCAAGAAGAGTTTCAAAGATTTGAACATTACTTAAGTCTCAAAGGTCTGGTATTTAGTTGATGAGTCTCTCAATCCAGGGACAGAAATAAACTGCATATAATTAATTCTGTGTTACTGTATAGCAAGTAGATTTTTGTCAGTCTGTTGGTATATAGCTCTCCATAATGTATGTACTGAAGGATCGTGTAAAACCACATTAATTAATCCAGTATCAGAGTACAGGATACTACCTAGTCTGCTATGGAAATGCCTGTTTACAAAGAAGTAAGGCAGACCATAATTTAACTGGAGGAATGAAAAAACTCTCGCACAGTCCAAAACAACACCATGCACATCAGAAGACAGCATCCATAGCCACACAGGGCAGAAAAACACAAAGGGAATCAGCTGAACACACAGGAAGTGAACAGACCACTTAGATTTGATCTTTGCATCCACTGCTAGAGAATGCTTTTCATTCCCTCTAACTTTTGCACTGCAGGACTGCAGGAGTGATACATTTTGAATATTTTAAACACCAATTGTGATTTGACCTGGATACTTCCTAAAAAGAATTAAACTACATGAAATGTAAAGAGATAATTCAGTTTACCTGCTGGATGTCTTGCACTGACTTTAAGGTTGGTTTGTTTGTGTGATTTTTTGGCTTTTGTTGTTTTTAGGTTTCTTTTTTTCCCTGCTTTTTTGTGTTTTGGGTTTTTTGTGGTGTCTTTTTTGGGGGATGCAGGGGGGCTTTTTGGGGAGGGTATTTTTTGTTTTGGATTTTTTGGGGGGGAGGGGGTGGTTTTTCTTTGAACCCCACTTTGAAATTTTGTTCCTTAGCTAATGTATTCCAAATCTTACTCTTCTGCGTTTTCATAGATTGGCAAGAGTGGGAATGTATGAAGGGCCATCCAAGCTCACATCGTGATCACTATAGTGACCACAACCAGGAGTGTTAATCATCCCACCTGCCTTCTACGGAATGCAACAAGATCAGTTATGCTTTCCAAGACAGTGCGACATTCTATTGCCAGATACTTTGCACATTTTCATTGAATGCAGTGTGTAATGGAAACCACATAGAACAACATGTTTCAACAAAAACTTACTAAATGGAGCAGATCTTCCAAAGACACAGTCGGAGACAACCACCATGTTAATACTAATGGATGAGGAATTATTCTAAACAAAATATAAGCTGTAGCCTTTTGAGTGAGGCTTTTGTTAAACACATTTCTACCTTCATGTTTACCTAGGTGTAATTTTGGCCTAGACTTCCAGCATTTAGCACACATAAAGTGATCAAATGATCAGAAAAATATATTTTTTTTGGTGTTTCTTCACATGCCAGAAGAAAATCGTTAACAACTGTAGAAGCTGAATAACGTTTTACAATATATTGTAACTAATTTAAGAAATTCAATTAAGTTCTGAGATTAGAAATAAAAACTCTTAAAGCACCAGTACTACATTTTCTCAATTTGTCTTTTAACACTGCCAATACAGGTAACAGCTGAACAACTTGATACCCAACTCTGTAAAAAACATACAATGAACTAAGTCCCTAAGCATGAGGCCACCGGGCAATACCTCAGGATTATTACAGTATTACACAGCTGAAAGTCAGAACTGAGAATTTACTTAGTATCTGCTTATGATTTTTTAGTGCATGTTAACAATTTATCATCTTTTCTACAAAAAGCATGAATGATCTCTGCATTACTCTCATCCTCACTGTGTGTATTTCATCTAGATGAAGTATTTAGACACTAGCATCTTTAACTCCACAGTAGGCTGTCCCAGGATTACACATATGGCAGAGCACAAAAGGCAAGAATTTAAATCCAAGGACTGCAAGTATTCTGGATCTAGGATGTCAAGCTTCAACTAGGCAACAATACTACTAAATTACAAAGTTCAGCACTCTTTCTCACAGTGGAAAACAAGCTAGATCTGGGAGAAAACCTCAAATACTCATCTCTTAATATATATAAATACTTATCTCTAAATATTCTCTTAATATTTAGATACACAGTTCATCATTGAAGTTCATTTTGACGTAAGGCAATCTATCCTGTGTTTATTTCAGTGTTTTTATTTAATCAAATTAACATGAAGACTGCAAACTCAGTTTAAACATGACATTAGCAGCTATGACACAGCAAGAGAAAAATTTCTTACCCAAATGTCCTGTTTTTCACCAATTGGAAAATTTGAATACAAGTCTACCATTTCTGGTGTCCTGTACATTGGCGTTGTATTCCTCGTGATCTGCAGAGGACAGAATTTCTTGAAACAGAAGTTTTACTAATAAGCTCTAATGACAATCAAAAAGGAAATAGCTCCCCATATAGAATGGATAGCATTCTCACTTTGAAAATTAATTTCAGAAATACTTGATGACAGAAGCCATCAACTGGTGAGGCACTGGAATGGCTTGCCCAGGGAAGTTGTGAATGCTCCATCCCTGGCAGTGTTCCAAGGCCAGGTCGGACAGAGCCTTGGGTGACATGGTTTAGTGTGAGGTATCCCTGCCCATGGCAGGGGGGTTGCAACTAGATGATCTTAAGGTCCTTTCCAGACCTAACTATTCTATGATTCTATGATACTATGAATCCTGCAATAGTGACAACAGCTTTGATATAAGGCCATATAAAGACAGTACTCAAAGTAGTAATAGTGATATTCAAGAGTTCTTCCAAACCGCAAAGCACATTAAGTAAAATTACTGTTCTACATGAGACAAAGAGATATGGACACAAATACAGAAAAAAGAAAAAAAGCCAATAAACCAAGTAGTGAATTCATGCTCCAGTGTGTATGTTTGACTTAATCACACTTAATGACAAACACATCCAAAGAGTTAAGCTGTGTTCAAAGGGATCCCTCAAGACACCTTTTCTACCATCTTTTTGCATGGCTATACAAGACAGTAGTACATCATCATAATTTCTTCTCCAGGAATCAACGGGCTGCTTTCCAATGATGCTGGATTCCAAAACAGGGGGGGCTCATAGGGTAGTTATGATATCAGAAATCGTGCACATGAATTTTAAGTGTCACTGTATTTCTCCATAATTAATTCTGAGTCCACTGATACATTAGACTTGCCAGCATTACTCTAAGAACAAATGCACTTTGCAAAAACACAGTGCACACTTGACACTGTCACTGTAGTCTTGGAGGCACTGCCATAGTGTCTATTCATATTCCACTGAGCAGACTTTTCACTTCTTTATTTAAACCATTCAACTGAAAAAACGGATGAGGAAATCACTCTGGCATAACCAATTTTTTACTTTCTGTTAAATGTGCAATTAGAAGAAACTCTAGTAATCACTTCTATTTTTGCACCAGATTGCAGAACTGACACTGCTCAAGTTGAAGCAGTGTTTGCATATACAGCTACAGAGCTATGATTATAGCTGCAGACAGTGTTTGAACTCTGGCAACACAAATACGAAACCAAACCTTTACAAACAACATTACAACTGAAACCATCTTCAGTTGTTTTAGAATTCCCATGAATCAATACCAGACTAATAGTAACAGTTAAATGAATCCACTGTTGATATTAAGATTAATCGCATTAAAATAGTCTTACCTCTTCTTCAACCAGGGCTCTCTTTTGTGCAGACCAGTTGTAGTCAGGATAGTAAGCTATAGTTGTAGCACTACCGAAGTCACAAAGTTTAATTGTCCCTTGGTTACTAATAAGCAAGTTTTCGACCTTCAAAAAAGAGGTGGAATAATAAATCAAAGATGCCTTTTCTCCTGTATACTAAAAGGCATTCTTTTAAACATCAACTCACCTGTGCATATATATAAAAATGCACACTTTAGCTCTGCATGTTGTTTACAGGAGCACAAAGATTTCAGACAGTACCGTACATGTATACGGTAGCAATCTAGCCAATTTTTAAAAAGAAGTACCAAAAAACACTATGAGCAGGAAATGTTCAAATGATCAGAAAATAAATCCCAGGGAGAAAAAAAAAAGTGCCTAATAAGAAGCCAGTTCTTCAAAGGACCACTTGCAGAAGCAGTGTCTTTAAACCTGAACATTTTAATGCATAAAACTGAACACTCTTAGCTTAACTGCAATTGAGTCAAAGCTACAACTCCTGTAGACATAAGACATGAACGTTCTAGTAGAAAAGCAGGCTACTGGGAGACCCCCAGAAAGAGTCAGCTGTGACATTGGTATCACTGTAGAGATAGAAACCAGCTATTTGAGGACCATGTGCTGCCTGAGTAGCTCATCATCCCTCCCTTTTCTACTTCATATAACCCCACCTCCTGGGATTGCCAAGTGAAATAGTGAGGAAGCGCAAGGAGACGTTAAAAGCAGGTATTGGGCAGAAGTATTGGGGGATCATAATCACAAAGAAGCTGAAAAGAAAATTTGTATCTCTGCATGAAATCAGGTAAAGGTGTAAAAGCCAAAAGGTGTATTAGTAACATTACAACACTACACTTCAGGTAACTAGGTTTGCCTTCCCTTTCCCTTTGAAACCTCATCTATGGACATCCTTCTGTAAAACCTCAGTTTTCAGAACATACTACTAGCCTGTCTTATACATGCCCCTTCCAAATTCTTCCACCATAAAATTAATTTTGACTACCCTACAGGAAGACAAAAGCTTTGTTAACAATGGTTAAAGTATCAATCTCAATGAGCAATCTGAATTCCCTTCTCTGTTGGATAACCTTTGCTTATCTCCACGTACAACAAGAAAGATGTGTGGGCATTCAACATAAAATTTAGATACTAAAAATCATCATATTTAAGAACAGAGATCAAGTTTCTGCACACATACATTCTGGTTTTCACGCTTCGGAAAGGCTGCTAGTAATGTAAAATACTCCAGCTGCTCACTGAGACCTGAACAGGCTCTGTGACCTGCGTTACACAGACTAGCTGTGCGCTTCACAGCGAATCCTGAAAAGCTGAAATTCAGACAATTAAAATACCAGAGAAGCACTGATATTTTACAAACCATCCTCTAACTAGCTTAGAATTTTTACAACACAGTAAATAGCTGGGTTCTTACAGTGCTGTAACACACTGTAAGTGCAAACTTCATCCAAAGAAGCTGACGAACAATTAATGCATTACACTGACAAGGGAGAGAAGAAAAGCACAGGAAAACAGAAACAGCCACCACTACAAAGGTGAATTTGTTTTTAGGCTGCACGGTAGAAGTTCATGAATCCTGTTACAACTCCAAACTACAACACCCCTCCCCAACAGCCACATTACATCTCATGCTCAAAACTTTGACCAAACGTTTTTATGCTGCTGACCTTAGTTCAGCCTTTTGAAAGGGCAGCACAGTTAAATGACCCTATTTGGCTTCTGGTAGTAAGGCCTCTGCCTACTGCAGCACAACTATCACTCAATCTTGCCTTGGAGCCCTGGTAATGTGAAACCAACACAAAACCAAACGCCTGCCTTTTTCTGTATTTTATCTTTGCCAGGAACTGGAATTACTTGACAAGAAAAAACAGACTTTGAATTATAGCATTCATTCAACTTCTATGGAGCTTGCTATGTAGAAATTGTGTATTTATGTATTTATCTGTAGAGTTTGTTACCCTTTTTTCAGAGAAGAGGCTTGTCTACAAGCTTTTCTAGGGGCTGGTGTACCAAAACTTCAGTGTTGAAAAGATTTTCTTCTAGAAAGTAACCCCAAGAAAGTTCTATGACAGCTTGGTTAAGATTTCTTTTACATGAGGTAAAAGTCTGTTCAATGGTACCAAGAAAAAAAAAAAACAGGGGGCATGGGGGAAAAGAATGCTTCATCTTCAAAACTATTTTGATACTAAGTGGTCATACTACTGCCTAAAATCAAAGCGTTCATCAGTGTTGAAAACACTTAGCACACATTTACTTTTTTAGTAAGTGGTTTCATCTTCCTTTTCCTAAAGTAATCAAGTACATCCTTACTTAAGGAGGAATGAATTCTCCTTTCTTATATTCAGCTGGTATCACATCAAACAGGAAACTGACATATCAAATTCAGATACTGTTTGAGGAATAAAAATCTTATTTTGCTTATGTTTACAAAGACCACCTCCCTCCACTGGGTTTCAATCTATTTGTAGTACACCAGAATCCCACTGATGATTAGGTCTCCTTCATTTATTATATAGCATGGATGTAAAGGTGCTGCCTTCAAAATTCAAAAAAAAGATGAAGTCCTCTCAAATCACTGAAGTTTTTAAGGGGACACCAGTTTCTATAGCATAATCCTATAGCAGCTTTGAATTATGCCTACCAAATTTTAAAATTAAATTTAAAACCAAGCCCTAAAATGCAACGCAAGTTGTTGTTAGTTCTAAAACTAACAGCTTCCTAGATGTTCTCAAAGGGCTATGTAACCTTTTACAGAGAATCCAACATTGCCCCCTCTTCTCCTTCAAAGCTTTACCTCTCTTCTATTTAGAAAACTCACTCACCTCTGCAACACAAGTTGTAGCTGGTTATTTTATCAAAAGCAAACTACTTGAAGACTGACTTAACAAGAAAACCATGATATATTACTTTTCTGTCAGCTTGTTCAGACAGTACAGCTAGTACTAACCACAAGCACAGGATGACAATGCTGAAAGAGATGCAAGTATTTCAGTCATGACCTCCACTGACATCCAGCAGTCTTGGCAAGGCAAAAGGTGCAGTTAAGCACCACTTTCAAGAGTGTCCACTGTACTTGATCAACAGTCTTAACACTGATTCAGCCTGATGAGTTCCTTTGGTGTTTAAAAATTCAGCCTTTATTTAAATACTGCAACACACCTTTAAGTCTCTATGGATAATAGGAGGTTTCTGTTTATGCATATGCTGCACTGCTCTGCAGGTCTGATAAAAGATCTTCAAAACTGTGTCACAGGAGATAGGGCCTTTGGATTCCACTTTCTTTAAGAATTCCACCAGCTGCCCTACAGGAAATGAGAAAAATTCACATAAGCATGCAGAGAACACCACAAATTCTGAAAGCCTGGCACAAATAGGCAAATACTTTTCTCATCAAGGAAGACTTACAGCCTTGAGCTGTGAATATTAGATGGATATTCTGAAAATTGTAAATCCACACTGACTGCAGTGCCCAAAGGAAATAGTGCTCTAAGGAACTATTCCTCCTCTTCCTTCCTCCAGCCAGTCTTAAAGAACTTAATACTAACCCCATATTTAAGATGAGGTTGAACTATAGTCTCAACATGCTCCTTATCCCATAAGTGACAAGGCTGAACTCCAGCTCCACTAACTATGCTACCCTTACAAGGCTTTCAAAGCTTCTGAACTGTGATGCAACCTGTGCAAACAGCTGTCAAAAGCAACATGTACTGCTGGGGAAAAAAAAAAGTTTACCTTTACACAGCTCTGTAAGCAGAAGAAATTCTCCTTGCCCTGTGTCCGATTCTTCTTTTCCTATTGAAGCAGCAGAGCAGAACTGGACAATGTTGGGATGCCCTGAAAGCTTTTTCTGGAGGTAACACGTTCAAGGAAGACTGCCAAGTTTACTGGTACAATTGTATACAGCAGTTCACAGACATCTCATCTGAAATGTTAGCTTAAAACCACAAAAAGCATTATCACTGTAAAAAAGATATCAAGTAGAACAAGGAATCATGCCTCAGCTAAAAAAATAGACTTCAGTGGAAGCCACTGAAGATAATATTATAAAAAGTCAAAATAAAACATTAAAAAAATCCTTGTGATTAAGGCTGAGGAAACTGGACTTCATAACAGACCTAGTTACTTATTTTTGTCTTCCAATAGTGACAGCAAGGCATTAACATATGTACCAGAGAGACCTTTTAATTATTAGCTACTTCTCTAGCTGGCTGATTAAGAAAGGGCAGCTGTCGCAACACCTGTCCTTTCAAAGGAAGTAGTAAGTATATTATGTTTCAATTTTAAGAAATTAAAGTTCAAAACAAATAACAGCTCTGAAAGACCAAGGAACTTATCGTCCCATCATGAGTAATAATTCTCCATACTAAAACCTTTGTCATGTTTCATGGTACCATTTTTGAACTATGTAAAAGAGAATAAAATTTAAGTGATCTCAGTTTCTGCCAGTGGAAGTTACATTGCATTACGCCCATCTGTGCTGCCCCTGGCAGCCATCACTCTGGTCATGTACTGATACTCATGCCTGAGGCAAACACACACTATTTACAAGATGCATTCACCAATTCTAAAAGGAAAAAAGCAAAGATGTCGTAAGTACAGCAAAGCTATAAAAAAAAAAAGACAAGTTGGATGCATCAAATTAGAATGAATCCAAAGTACTAGTTTACATCTTATGCATGTCTTAACAACCTTTTACTCAGAGCCACAGGAATTAGTTTCACAATTGTAACTTGGAAAGGTAGCAACAGTTAACCCTCATTCACGCTGTACATATGCTTTAATGAGCCCAAACTGTGAAAAAACATCTACAGTACATTCAGTTCTTTACTCCTGACAACACAGAGTACCTAGAAAACATATAGCGCTACCACAGTCTGTTATTTGCCAGTATACTTCCAGTGAGTGGTGTTTAGTGTAAGACTTCGCCAAACATTTCAGTAATCATAGAAAAATATTTAAGTAGTTTAAATGAAGTGGTTTTGCATGGTAACTCAAAATGAAGCTGAATACTCAGACTGGAAACGAAACAGCAGCATACAGCTACTCACTGACTCTTGAAACAAACTGAGGGTCTTACAGCAGACATCAGGGAGCAAATACTGAGTTTACTAAACTCATGGACTGAGATTGCATTATACCTTACCATCTAGCTTCACTGAAGAGGAAGAGGACAGCAACGACCCTGAGAATCATCTGCTTCTGGTTTCTGATGCATGTATTCTACTAAATTAACATTCAGTATTACTTTATAAAGCCAGATGCATCTGAGCAAAAATTTATAAATTTTGAAAGTAAAAGCAAAGTTCTGTGTAGTCAAAAAGGCAATATATCCAGTGCAAGCGAGGGAAGTCTACTTAAGATCTAAGTATCATCTGATTAACCAAAAGGTCTCTTGAACACAGTCACAGGAATGCAAAAAAGCCCATATAAGAACTTCATTTTTTGCTAGGCAAAGTAAATAACAAAGTCTACACAAGCTGTGAAAGTTATCTTCACATATTAAGTTCCTGCAACTTTTGAAGAACTGAACTTGCTGGATGTTGATGCCAGATTCCTGATAAACCAGGACCCAAACCTTCCTCAGAATATTTATCCTTTTAAGTAGTGTATGGCATGGAAAGAACCAAATGTGTAGAGCAGTCCCCTTTCTCAGAAACCTTTGTTATCAGGCAATTAAATCAAAACATTAAAATATGTTCCAGAAAAGGATACCATAAAACAAACTTCCTGAATGATGGCTTTGTTCTTTTCTTCTTCATTAGACAACAACCGCTGCCAGAGAACAGAAAAAACTGAGACGATAGTTATTAAAGCTTACAGAAAACAGTGCATGGATAATTTTTTTTTTTTTCACAACACAAAGGATAAGCTACAATCAATCAAAAACCTAAGGAAATGTGATGGGACAGTAAACAAAGTAGGCATATTGTACATTTGGACATATTGCCATGAGCAAAACACACAGTTTTCCAGCTACCTGTACTGTTCAGGCTTAGCAATAGCTGAGCAGTTGTAACCTTCAACACTCATGAACTAACTGCTCTGACAGTTTTCTGTTGTATAAAACACTGAAGTCTGTTGGCTACAGCACTGTGCACTGACAAGTAAAAACTCATTTTCTGCCTCAAATCTCTAAACAACCTTCAACCTATACCAGCCACAACTTGTCCGAATTATGTAACCCAACATTTTCAATAGTACCTGAGTAATCAGTAGCAAAATTAAGCATTACTATTACCAACATAGCTTGGATTTAGAGCCACCACTTGACTAGAATCAATCTGAGCATTTGCTACAAAAGTACCAGTTTAATAAAACAGAGGAAGTACAGTAATGGTTCACCTTTTAGCTGTAATTTTTTTTAATGGGGCTACTTCTTGATAAGATTTTGAACACACATACTGTATGCGTTTGGCCATGTTTTGTTAGTGCAAGATGTGGTACAAAAAAGGAAAAAAGAGTAATTACTGTTGGCAATCTTACCTCTCTACTTCTCTTACTACTACCCTTTTCGCTTTTCCTCCAAGGTAAGAAGTCTTTGTACGGATACAGTCACAGAACATCCCTACCCCAAAAATGAAGTCATTTTATGGTGAACACAATGACTTCCCTTTGTCCTTTCCACAATACTTCAGTTTTTCAGCTGTTACATGGTTATTATAAGCCTTCAAAAACACGAATCCAGGGGTGTTTCAGAAATGCCAGACTGAATATCTGATCAATGAGTCAAAGTTCAGACCATTATTTTTAATACTGATGAAGCTTACTCGGGAAGTACAAAGGAAGGCTAGCCAGTGAGCCAAATCTCCTGCTGATGAGTGAAACTATTAATATACCCCATTTCAGGTAATTAGGAAAGATTTTTTCACCCAAAATGCTTATGCAGGGTCATGAATTTCTAGACCAAATGAAGACAAACAGCAGCAGTACCCAACAAAGCAGCTCAAATCTCTGGTAGAAAACACAGGGTCCTAACAGGTACAGCGTGCTACAAACACCACTATCATTCTGAATTTTTCCAAATTACCTGTTTATGCTACGCATCAAAGGTTAACTACCATGCTAAAGCATCAAGTAAAAAGACAGAATTTATAAACCTGAAGGACATTTTACCTTTAAAGCATAATCTTTGCCACTTCCAAGATCTTGAGCTTCATAGACAAAAGCAAAGCCACCTACAAGAAGAAGGGACATTAAGTAAGCTTTAATTTCAACATTCAAGTAAATCATTCCTTTTAGTCTAACAGAGCTATCACATGAATTTAGATATCCTCTGAATGTAAGAATACGTGTTTTTCAGTGACTTGCCAAGAGCATGGGTAACCTACATTAAAGAGCTAAAATATTTTCTTATTTCTTTTATACATGCTAGAAGCACAGCAAATTTGTTACTTTCATGCATTTTTTAGTCTACATATGCAGTTTTCCTATGATGTATTTCTTTTCTTTTTACTACAGGTCCTTATAATACCAAGATTCAGTTCTGCAAATACTACCTAATTATTTTAATTAAACAACTATTTGGTTTTGCACTATTAAGCTTCTTATAAGAATAGCAATAACCAAGAGAAATAAAATATTTAATATACACTTCCTCATACTTTTTGGGTAATTGCCATGCTTCAGGCTTCATATTAAAAGCTGAAAGAGATTTCAAGCATTGAAGCAAATGCTTTGAATAAGGGAAGTTACTGTTACTAAATTGCTGTCTGTAACTCCATACAGCATTATTCTGACCAAAGCAGTTGGAAGGAAAATACTTATTTTATCTAACACTATGAGTTCACTCAAAACACTGTGCAACCTTCTAGAAGGTAAAGATGACTAAGAAAAAGATAAGTCTGACAAGTTTCTTCAATGGCTAATTATGTTAAACTGTCAAAAGAATGTATTTGTTCAGTTCGACTCCGTTTTAAAGATCCTGGTACCACTTTAAATTCTTCCCTGAATGTCATCCTTGTCATTACACCAACAGTGTGTTGCATATTCACTCCATCTGTTGCAGAGTTTCTTTAGTAGATTAACAACCAAAGTGACAAAACTTCAACGATTTGCCTTTCTACTCCTTCAATAACATTCTATTTCCATGGGACTGTAGTGATAGAACAAGGGGTAACAGGTTAAAAACTTAAACAGGGGGAGCTTAGATTGGATATAAGGAGGAAGATCTTTACTGTAAGGGCGGTAAGGCGCTGGAATGGGTTGCCCAAAAAAGTGGAGAATGCTCCATCCATGGCAGCGTTCAAGGCCAGGCTGGACAGAGCCTTGGGCGACATGGTCTAGTGTGAGGCGCCCCTGCCCATAGCAGGGGGTTGGAACTATATAATCTTAGAGTTCTTTCCAACCCCAACCATTGTATGATTCTACAAACTACACTGCAATGTTTCCTCTAGCAGTAACTTGGAGAACAGCATAGAGGATGTCAATGAACTACAAAATTTTACTTGTCAAAAAGGCTATGAGAACAGAATAACTAAAGAATGAACCACAACAGACAAGCAACAAGTTGACAAGGCACTTCTCTTGAAAGATGCAGGATGCAGATCGTTAGTCACTTTAGTACCCAATACCTTCTTTGTGGATAAAGAATATTAACATGAGACTGAAGTGAATACGGTATTTGCTTTGTGCAATTCCATCAAATACAAGGCTTTCCAAGAAGTACTCTCCAAAGTTTTACATGGCAATTGACCATCATAGTGTGCTCCAAGACTCCTGCTACACACCTTGTCACTTTGACAGTAGCATCCACAACATGAAACAAATAAATGACAGACTCCTGGATGTTGCCTTTGCTTTTGGTGTCTAAAAGGGAATAATACACAAAACGAGCAAAACCAAGATCCCAGCTGCAGGGAGGACAAACAGAAGAGTGCAACTAGTGCACCACAGAAGAGCTAGAGTATCAATAAAAATACTGAAGATGAGACAGCAAGGGCTGCAGTTCAATCCACCATACATTACCCATACGTGCATTGTGCTTATCTATTTACTTTGATTCATTCATTCATCAAATTTGGTAATTCCCACAACAGGAAGTTCTCTCAGCTTTTTCAAAGCCCCAGTGCAAGTGTTCTGATCAGCCATTACAATCAGCATTTTGCACACTGATGGGACAGAGACTGGAGACAGAATAAACTCCATGCTTACCACCTGAAGAGAATTTGCTCCTCTCTGAATGAGAACATATGAAAGAAAGACATGGTTCTGGACAGTGCTGACTGTTTATGGATTTCACAGAGCTTGTGAAACAATCAAGATAATCTGCAAGTCATCCTTTTACTGAGGCTGGGTCTGGAAATCCATGGTTTTTGACCTCATTTCCCAGCCAGTTCCCTACTAAAGTCCAGAGGCATGCCCTAGGTTTCAGAGTGTGCTGTCCCAGTGAGTTGCAAGCTCCAACAGCAGTGTACACCAGTCACTGTACCGCAGAGCTACTGCTTCCACGTCTTTGTCCTACACAGATACTACAGACCTTCTAAACAGTAGAAGTACTGCTGGCCCTCCAGAAGAAAGTCTTTACATTCATCTTGGTATATATTTCTTTTCTTTATTCTAGTAACGCTGCAAAAGCTGCATCTTGAAAATATGTGCTTTGATTACAAAATTAAGTGCTTCTCATACACAGAATTACAGCACAGTTAGTTTCCTGGAATGCGCTCAAGAGCAAAATGGTAACAGAAAAACCCCAAATTAGGGAAAAGTTATTCTGCAAGTTCAGCTCCATACACTGCCAAAGGTTCTACCATGGCTGGAATGGGGCAAGTCTACTCTGGACTTCAGGCATACACCCAGATACTACTACAAACATACACTGACTTACACACATGTATGTACTCCAAAAGATAACTATGCTTCATTCAAATGTATCCAAAGCCTTTCTGGATATTTCACTGGTGAAAGCACCTATGCATCATAATTAACTCATCAGATCAATTCTACCCACCATTTTAAGCATATATCTGAGTAACCACCAAGCTGATACAAACTTTTAAGACCTCTAGAAGCATTCATACCTTTCCAACTATTCAAACTGGTCTGACAAATTACAAGCCCTTCCTCCAATATAAGAAATGCTTACAACATAGACCAAGTTGCACATTATCACCAAGTTTAATCTTGTTGACATCCAGCATGAAGCAGTAAAAAGAATATGTTTACCCAACTGAGAACAGATTATTAAGACTTCAAAAAACATAAATTTCAAATCTTCATGGAAGTGAACATCATGCAGTCCTCTCAAAACTCAAGACACATTCACAGTTGCCCTGAAATCCTTCCCTCTGTTCACAAATGATCCTGAAATTCAGGTCTAAAACTCAACCACATTTATGAGAACTACAAAAGTTAATTTCTGGATGGAAATGCCTGTGTTTTAACACTCAAATCACAATGTTACAACTACCCCAAGAAGGATTCCAAAGTTTGACTGATTTTTGCTGTACATAAAAGAATCTCATTTCTAACAAGAAAAATAAATTTCACTGCTCTTAATTGCTAGCTAGGAATCTACAGAGATTTCATGTTCAACTATGTATCTACTTCAACATACATACTGGTCTTTGGTCTCAACAGTAACTGAAAATCAGAAACATTCATTTTTACCTAACAATGCAAGTGAGCATTTTCAGCAATGCAAGCCATTTAAAAATGGTAAGTTCTTGCTGTCAGTGGAAGTTAGTACAAGCTCTACTTATGTTAAAGCACTGCTATTTGACTCTTAAGTGAGGTATACTTGACATTATCTGGAAATCCAGTGAAATCTGGATACAAATTGTCCAAATTAAGATTTTCCTGAGGTCAAATTTAAAGCTGACAAGACTCAGTTTTCTTTTCCAACCAAGAGATTTGCATTTTCCCCTCAAGATACACCTAGGCATCACATATCAATTAAGTTCACTGCACTATAAATCAAATTGGATTTAAAACTGTCCATTTTTTTCCCCATCTTCGTTAGTTTTTTCAGCCAAGGAATTTCAGTGAAATGACAGTTTTCCTACTTGTCAGCTAGTGAAGCACCAAAACAGGAACCTCAACCACAATATAAAACTGCTTGCTATTGTAATGCATTGTTTCATAACACCCTAAACCAGTCATGACAAAGGAATGGTGTGGATAACTTCCTGTTTATAGCTACCGATATGACTTATCTGCTGCCCTCCCAAATACTGACCAAATTTGCTTCCAAATCAATTTTGAGTACTTATGTTTCAATTATAACTTGATTAAAAGACAGAAATTCTAGCCTGAACTACAAGTTACAGTGCATCTTAATGAAAGCAAACAGATGTTTTTCTACCAGTGTACAAGCAACATCCTTAATGCTCTGTCACTGTTGCAAGCACTGACTCAAACTTTTTTCCCCGAAGTCCAGTCATCCATTTGTGTCAACTGCAAAGTTATAATAACAAGATAAAGCTGTCTCAAATAGGAAGGATGACTCAAAGGTCTGAATGTTTCTCAGTAAACCCTGAGAAGCAGGGAGGTAGAACACCCTCAGACTTGCAGAGATCACCTGCAAGCAGAAACTGCTATATCCAAAGAAACACTAGCTTTAAAAAAAAAAAACATCACTGTTCTGCTCCATAGAATCATATAATAGTTAGGGTTGGAAAGGACTTTAATCACAACTTCAGATCACCCAGTTCCAACCCCCTTTCCATGCTTTGTGTTGAAAATCCTCTCTGTATCTACAGCTAAGGCAACATCAACTGGAAAGCTGCTAGGTCACCGTGCTCCTGTTCTTCTTTACTGACTGCCATGTTTTTTTCACACTTCCAAGAAGCCTGCCTTATACAAGGTCTGCAGAGTAACTGTCATCATCCTTTACATCACAGGCTGTTGCAACTTCTTAACTTGATGTGAGCTCTCCTTCTTCTATAGTTACTTCAACCATCTGCCAGCAAATTGAACTATTAGTGTTCACAGAAAGTTGGCTGTTAAGCGTTCATTGTCCCTCTGCTGCCCAGAGTTTTATGAATTATAACCATCAAAAAAATCAGCATTTAATAACAAATTAGAATTGTGCCTAGAAGCTTGGTAAACTAGTATTGCCTGCTCACACTCAAAATACTGAAAAAGCCTGTAAGCCTAAAGCAGCAAGTTTTGATACTTTAATGAGCCATAAGGCTCATTGCCAGAATGCAGCTTATAACAAGTCACCTACATGGCTTCA